AATGGCTTTGCGCCATGGAAAGTGAGATGGAGTCACTTAGAGCGAATAAGACTTGGACGTTAGTTCCTACACCGCCCAATAGTTCCGTTGTTGCCTGTAAGTGGCTATTTAAGGTTAAGGAAGAGCCTAACGACATTAGATATAAGGCTAGGTTAGTAGCTAAGGGATTTACTCAAAAGGAAGGTGTTGATTATGCTGAAATCTTTGCTCCTGTAGTTAAATTTACTACGATTAGAATGATGCTTGCTCTTGTTGCTCATAATGATTGGGAAATGAAGCAAATGGACGTCACCACTGCATTCTTGCATGGTGATTTAGATAAGAAAATCTATATGTCGCAACCTGAGGGCTTTGTGGATCCCATGAAGAGTGATCATGTGTGTTTGCTTAGGAAGGCCTTGTACGGCCTGAAGCAGTCCCCGAGGCAGTGGAATATCAAATTTGACCAATGCATGTCATCTTTGAAATTTCACAAGTCCGAATGCGACCATTGCCTATACTTTAAAAATACTTCCTCTGTGCCTGTGTTTTTATTGCTATATGTGGATGATATGCTTATTGTGAGTCCTTCGGGTGACGCCATTAAATGTGTGCAAAAGCGTCTCAGTGAGAACTTTGCTATGAAAGACCTAGGTGATGCCAAAAGGATCCTAGGCATTAACATTGTTAGGGATAGGAGTAAGCGTGTGTTAGTTCTCAATCAGATTTCATATATTGAAAAGATTTTGAGTAAATATAACATGCATTCTGCTACTCCCGTTTCTATCCCGATGGCGTCTCACTTTGTGTTAAGTAAGGATCAGTCTCCCAAGACTGCTCCTGAAATTGCTAAAATGAAATCTGTGCCTTATTCCAATGCTATTGGGTCCGTGATGTATCTCATGGTGAGTACTAGACCCGACATTGCCTATGCTGTTAGTTGCTTGAGTAGGTATATGTCTAATCCTGGTTTAGATCATTGGAATGCTCTTAAGTGGTTGCTTAGGTACTTGAAATCTTCTGTTAATCATGGGTTGGTTTTCACTAGGTGTTCTGAGGGGGTTAAGTTGAGTGGGTATGTGGATTCTAATTTTGCTAATGATAGAGACAATAGGAAATCCACTACCTCTTATGTGTTTACTCTTTGTGGGTCTTGCATTAGTTGGAAGTCTCAACTTCAACCCATAGTTGCCCTTTCCACCACTGAGTCTGAGTATGTGGCCGCTACCGAAGCGTTTAAGGAAGCCATTTGGCTTAAACGTCTCCTAACGGAGATTGGTAGCCTTAAGCAGGATATTTGTGTGTTTTCTGATAGTCAATCTGCTATTCAATTGTGTAAAAACCCTGTTTTTCATGATAGAACTAAGCACATTGATGTTAGATTTCATTTTATACGTGATATTGTTAGTGCAGGTCATATCAAGTTGATTAAAATTCCATCGGAATTTAATCCTGCTGACATGGGGACTAAATGTCTCTCGGTCGAAAAGTTGCTGTCGTGCAAACGCACGTTAAACATTGATTGCGGATAAGTTGCCTGGTGACCTTACCCCGTTTGCCTGAATATGTCTTTGTGATTATTCGGGCAATCCAGCGATGATGAGTCTCAAATTGTTTTAGAGTGTTGTGCTCTACACCACTAGGGTCCAATAAGGTGGAGAATGTGTTGGTATTGGCCCGGTTTCCATAAGCCCAAAGACTCTGGTTTTTTACCCGGCCCTCTTTGTTGGTCGAAGCAGCCCGTTGGCTTACTCCATTCAACGATCGGCTTTCTCTCCCTCTTACACTCTTGCGCGATTCCTTCCTTCTGAGCGTGAGTACTCTGCATATCTCCATGGATGGTAAGTTACCATCTTTAGTTCTGAGCTTTGCCTATATTTATTCCCCCCCTTCTGTCTGAAATTGAGTTGGCCGAACCCTAGCTTCTCCCCTAATTCGCACCTCTGTTCCTCGGTGGAGCCAGAGGTAAATTGGCCGGAAAACCTTGTTGGTTGTTGCCCATATTCTTCCCTTTGAGATCCTAGTGGCTATTATCATCCTTTGTGGATGAAGATTGAGACCTGAGCTGGAAGAGATCCCTCTTTACAGATGCAATTTACGTAGACATTATATTGTTCATCGTTCATTTTAAAACTTCTATTAAAAGGTGAAAAGAGAAACATAGTATGGGCAAATCCAGAAAGAACAGATAAAAGTACAACACAAAAGTATAAAAGCAAACATCTTATTTACTTTGTAACACCACTGTCGTTTTTGTATATTCATTTAATTTTATAGATTATTTAAGGACTAGATCAGTAGATCATTAAACACTTTAAATTTAAAGATATGATAAGAAATGGAAGTCGACATGTACAACATGCAACTTTCTTACTCCACATTCTAAAAAAGGTTGACTTTTTATTGATCATGTTTATAGTTTATTGGAATTCTTTAAAAAATAAAGAGACTTAAAGAAGAAAGTGATCTGCCGAAAAGAAACGAAATAATTAAAGCCATGAGAAAGGAGAGAATGCATGTTACTGCTTACTTACCACTAGCTACATGCTGCAAATTTTGCCTTCTGGGCTAAGTAATCCATTTTAGGCCATAAAATATGCATACTGCTCATCGAAAATATAAACGTTTGTATATTTGAAAATAGAACATCTTTACTTTCTAAATTACTAGTATAAATTGAATAAAAAAAATTACTAGTATAAATTTAATAAGAATACTATAATTGTTATATTTTGACATAAACAGACTTTAAAGATGACAATATTTTTCAAATTTGACACTAATTACTCATACTTAAAGAATAAAATCGATCACGACAATCTTGTTTTGGAATTCGAAAATATTTTTTGCTCATGCCTCAAAAAATTTCGGTATTTATATCTGTGCAACATATGTTTCATATGATTCGTAAGGTCCAAAAACACTCGTGTGTTAGCCCCGTCCTTATCAACAGTGATAGCTTTTAATTTCAATCCATTTTTTTCATTTGATTTTGTCTTTGTTTCAAAAAAATAAATCCTAATTTAAGCTTTTCAATCCATTGATTTCACCCGTGATGTTGCAAGCCCGATCATATATATCCCTGTCCTCCTAATCTAAAAAAGCAATCCATGAATTATTTCAGATTCAATATAATCACTCTTTTCAAAAACAAAATAGTAGATTCAAAAATATGCACTATATCCAAAAAAACCTTCTATAAAACAGGCTTCTTTGTTCATATAGTGCGAAAACATGCAAGAGCATTTGTTCATTGTTTGACACATCACAAGAGTCCTCAATCAATATTGGAAATAAATAATCTCCCAAATCATCAATTTTTTAAGGGAAAAGTGAATTTTATTGAATAAAAATAAAATGAAAAGTACAATGCAAAAAGGAAAGAGGAATAAGGGAGAAAAAAACCTTACAGAGAAAGAAAAGCCTGAAACTAAACCAAAGGAAATTCTCTAGACTGATACATAGTCTCCCAAATCATCATCTATTGCTCTTAATGTCTCACTTGTAGAGGCACTTATAGAGCCCGTTTGGTAGCACGAAAATCGGCTGATTTGGCTGATTCTGTTGAAATTTATGAAGCTCTGGCTGAAGTGGCTGCAGTGGCTGATTCTGCTGATTTAAGAAAAAAATATTTTTAAAATATATTTTATTAATAAAATAAAGAAAAAATTATATGTAAAAATAGCTAAAATGGTCATCTACAGTAACGTCAGCCAATACAGCCAGAAAAGTAACTCAAACCTTACTTTTTCTGCTTATTACACAATTCAGCGCGCGAAAGCAAAAATTACGTATTTGGTGAAAAGCTGGCTAATAAGCATGGTAAGCCAAAAAACAGTGGTTCCAAACGGCCTCATTATGTTTGAATACTTGATACATATCATTGAAATTTTCCTATCCAGTCCCTCAATTTTTATAAAAATTACACTTTCCATCCATAAACTATGATTTTGATGCATTTTTTTGGTGAATAGGCTTTTAGTTCTTCCACTAAGTAAGGTGAATTTGGGATCAAATGACGATCTTCTATCTCTCCAGGCTAGCTTGAATGATCGCACAACTATGTTTCATATCATCTCAAGCGGGTCAGTGCATGTGAGAGTGAATTTCTTCTTGAAAATTCAATGGGAATCTGAGGACACATGTGCGTAGGCTTTGAAAACCTAGCCTATTATTTGAGCAACTGGTATTTATTTCTGTGAGTAGGTTTTGAAAGCACATAATTAGACAAGTGGATTGTGAAATCGTGGATGGTCCACCAATTGAGTTTAAAATTTCCAATTTCACTTCGAACTTGTGTAGTATTTGATCTGATCATATCTTGTTATATTTCATTCCGTTTCAAGCGTATTCTATCTCATTGGAAAGATGATATCAAGTTCAAAAATCCGTATTCAAGCGTCATTTTCAGAATATTAGTCATTAGAGGATGGCTACCTAATGAACCGAATCACACAATTAAACTCATTTAGTAAAAAAATGATGGCATTCCATCATTGAGTCCCCGACACCGGCCGAGACATGTAATTGACAGGATGTGAATTGAACTTTAATCACAAACTGACATATTGTGAATGAGGCTTTGGCTCAAGTCTTGCATATTGGCCTTATGCATTTTTTACACAGTAACTTTTAATCGCAATTACCAGAATTCGAACTCAAAGCATACCCTTGTGAGTTGTGAAACTCTTATCTACCGGTTGAGCTACGTAAATTAAATTTATTTAGTAGGATGACACCCATCTCAGTGTCCCCTAGCACTGGCCAGACAATTGACGATGTAAAGCGAACTTTAATCATAAGTTGACCGATAGCGAGTGTAGCTTTTGCCCACGTACCTGCAGGGATTCTATGCGTTTATACATAGTAATCCCTCATCACATTTGCCTGAATTCGAATCCGAAGCTTATCCTTGTGACATTCTTTATCTACCGGTTGAGCTATACCCACGAACAATTAAATTAATTTAGTGGAAGCTTTGGAGAAGTGCTTGCCATGATTGGGACCAACAAATCTCTAGCCCACTCTATTCGATCTTACTATAAATAATGTGCATGGAACGTCCACATATTCGTACCCAACCCCTACGTGGAAACTCACAGATCGTGGTTGCTTGCAATGGCGTGGGAGACCGGCTTTGACTCTCTTCCCGAAGACTGCATCTCTAACGCTCTGTCCCTCACTACCCCCGAAGACGCTTGCCGCCTCTCGCTGACTGCGCCCACCTTCCGCTCCGCCGCCATTTCCGACGCCGTCTGGGAGCGTTTCCTCCCACCGGATTACCGTGACATCATTTCTCGGTCTAGTAGCGCCGCCAATTTGCTCGCTTCTGGTTCCAAGAGGGATCTCTTCATCCGCCTCTGCGATCGCCCCGTCCTTATAGACAATGACACAAAGGTAATTAACTGTTAGATTCTTGGTTACTGTAGTACTACGTATGTAAATACGAAGTACTTTGCATATTCCCCCCACAAATTGCTAAAAATCATTTTTTTGAATCGGTAAAACCGCTTTTTCTCTCAATTGAATTTGGTGTTGTTGGCTTGTTGCATAGTACTCCGTATTAGCCTATAATTGACAACTTTTTACCCCTCATATGCGAATTCTAAAAAAAGAGATGACACTCAATCCCTTGGGACCCCAACATATAGACAATGAGGCTCTGACTCAGATACTTGCAGAGATTATATGCATTTTTAGTATCATATGTTCTCATCGCAGTGGCTGGAATTCGAATATGAGACTTACCTCTTGTATCACTCCCTATCTACCAGCTGAGCTACGCCCACCGACAACTCATATGCAAATTCTAAGCGTCTGATATCCCCCTCGTCCCATTAATTTGATTAAAATTGATTTGCGTGAAGAATAATAAAGTAAAAATTGTATGATTTAAATTTGAATGGAGTAAAAAGAAACAATTTTAGCCACATCAATTTCTTTTAATGAAGTGACACAGATTTTTAGAACGACCAAAATGAAAACATATTACTACAATTTTTGTGAAGCTTTTACTTTGAGATTTCATTTTTTTATAATATGGAAAACATCGCTTACATCCTTTTTCATATTTCAACTTTGTATTTTAATATTTCAACTCTATGGCATGTGCTCGAGCAGAGTTTTTCACTGGAGAAGAAGAGTGGGAAGATATGTTACATGATAGGTGCAAGGTCCCTTGAGATTGTGTGGAGTGACACACCTAAATATTGGCAATGGATCTCTCACCCGCACTCCAGGTATAAACTACTGCATGTACAAATGATTTGACATTTATAGCGGAAATACTTCTCCCGCTCTATGATTAATTTCTCACTTTCATTCTTAAAATGCTCTAAAATTAAGTTCCTGTATACGGCGTATCTTTTCGGTAATATTTGAGCGGTAAAGTAGTTTTCCATCCTTATGAAGAAATAAACTCCCTAGTTAATTACTAGTATTAATTTTCATTAATCATATTTATCACATATACCGAAATATTTAGATGTTCTTATACTCTTTATCTATCATATTTAGCTTTGATTATTATTTATAATCAATCAAATTTTCGTAGTATGATCCTGTGAGGCAATTTTTTCACATACGTACACATCCATTTCAATAAAAATACTCTCCTTTCTAAAAATGAAAATCTCATTTTTTTTCATTTGGAGGTGTTCGAGATTAAAATTTATATTTCCCCTTAGCTTTTGGCATTTTTATTACATAAATTTCAAAATTTTAACCTTTTTATTTTAAATTTACAAATTTATCTTCACTGTTTTTTCTAGAGAAGGTAAAAGGCAAGAGTTATGAAGTTATCTAGGAATTTTAACACAAATAATTTTCAATCTGATGACATAAAGAGCATGAGACTTCAAATTTCGAACCAAGGAACTATATGTGAGAGAGAGAGAGAAAATGTGTGTGTGTTATCCTACGTATGTAATACTCCATACTAATTTAAATATTATCAATCATAATTAGCCTCACATCGTTCAAGATTTGTAATTTGAAATGAGGACTATATGTAGTGTATAGGTAATAGGATCATATAATCTGTAATACATGATTGATAATCATGTAATACTCCATAAAAGGGAAGCTTGTATGAAGCTAAATACTCTTTAGTCAATCTAAAGTTTCACATTAGTTCTTACACTGGTTTATTGGGCGTGTTATCTCAGAACCAAATAATCAATAAAGATTTTTTATCCAAACCCCACAAATTTTTGGTACAAGATTATATGGTCCATGCCATCAATCCATAATCATTCCACAAAACCTTCTTCATAGCCCCGGTGGTCAATCTTTTAATTTTCTTGAATTCTCACTTTACCAAAATTGCGATTATGTTACAAACCAATTGCAATTATATAGTGCCTTCTCTCCCATGTGGTTCCCACATTTGACACTTTTTTTTGTTATAGATCTATATTTTGACCAATGAACAATTTTGTCCAACGTGTTCAAGAAGCACATTTTACTAATATTGTGTAGTATACTTTATATACATCTATAGGAATATATACTTTTAACAATTAAAGAACATTTTAATGAGTGTTTAAGGATAAGCGGTGCTCATTATTGGAACATCTTAAAAGAAAGTGATTTTTGAGCTCATTGGGTAAAGGTAAATATGGCATCAATTGATAAACTTAATGGAGCTACTCAGATTGTGCCATAATTAGAGTTTCAACATAATAATGGAACAAAGGGTGTATCTGTTGCTCTTCGAATTTTGCGGATTCTTCAGACTTCAGAGGGCACATGCACAAAAATAAAGTGGATTTAGTTGTTTTCTCTTTATGAAGTAGAAGATACCTATTAAGTCCTATAACTTATGTTGGTGGTCATTAGTAATTATGTAGCTTCATTGACTTGCATGTCTCATCATGTAACTTACAAATTTATTCGTATTAAGACTTTGCTACCATTAGAATGCCTATCAGAACCGACATGTATTTAGATGGAATTTGCACATTCCAACAAAAAGGTCAAATAGAGGAACTTATTAGTTACATGACATAATCTGCAAGTGAGTAAAAGTATATGACTAATAGGTACATGCATGACAATGTGAGTTAATTACAAGGTTAGCTGAATCAACAATTTTTTCTCGTACCTATGCTCTTCATGCTATTACGTGTGCTTGGAATTTTTCTTTCTTTCCTTCTTTCTTTCAATGAACGAATAGGTTCCCCGAAGTTGCGGAGCTTTTAAGCGTGTGCTGGCTTGAAATACGTGGCAACATAAATAGTAGATTGCTGTCTCCCGACACTAACTACGCAGCTTACCTTGTATTCACATTACAAGCAAGGACTTATGGCTTAGAATACCAATCAGTTGTTGCTTCAACTGAGATTATTAGTAATGGATATGAAGAAGCTAAAAAGATGACTATTTATTTGGATGCACGTGGAGATGAGAGTGTTGCAACTTACCCGCCAATAGTACCTCGGATGAGGACATTCAGTCGCGGGTCTGGTTATAGAGTCAGACGGGAAGAGATGAATGCGGCCTTTCAAAATGACCCTGCAAAGCTCCCGAAGAGTAGAAGAGATGGATGGATGGAAGTGGAGTTGGGTGAGTTTTTTGTCAAGAATGGACAAAGTGCAGATATTGTTATTAGCTTAATGGAGATAAATAGCCAGTGGAAATGTGGTTTGATTGTCGAAGGACTCGAAATTAGGCCAAAGGAATAGGATTAGTAGTTGTAATTCATGTCATATGTGGATTATTAACTCTTGTAATGCAATTAAGTGCGGGAAAACTAGCCAACCAAGTCATTGTAAATAGGAGCGGATGTAATGGTAAGTGCATCTAATACTCTTTTTGAGTTTTGCTTTAATTTGAGAATACCACGTTTACCTTCCGACACATTTTATCATGTGGTGATTTAGGTTTAATGTAATAAATGTTATTTGGATGATGACACTCTAATTCATTTTAGCTTAATCGAGAATTTAACCTCCAAAATCCGCACTTTGAAAGGTATTCAATTTAAGGATTTTAAAGTTTCTCGGAGTATGTTCTTGTTACAAAAAACACGTAAACTAAAAATTGAACCTCAGATAACCCTAAAAACAGTATCATAAAAGTTAGCTTTGACACCAGAAATTAGCCGGTCATTTGCAATGGAGACGGAAACTACGAAGCAAAGTTCGGGCATATTTATATGACACATTGTTTACTGCATGACTTTATGTAGTGATTCACTAATAGGCTAATAGTAGAAGGTATTATTTGACAATTTTTCTGCATCTCGAATGATTTGGTAAATAAGTACTCCTCTAAGGTTGGTCTGGTATCGTAGAGTTGTGGGCCCTAGAGTTGTTTTTTTTATAATAGGAAAAAAAAGACGGAAACTACGAAGCAAAGTTCGGCGCTGGTTATTTGAAGGAGGGAGACGGAAACTACGAAGCAAAGTTCTTCGACGCAGCTGCTGCCTAGATATCACGGCTACCTCCAATTCTCCATCAGTCAGAGACTCCATCTGAAATTGCAATGGAGACGGAAACTAGTTTGGGCGCCCTACCAGTAGATTGTCTTGCTAACATTCTGTCCTTGACTACCCCCAAACAAGTTTGCAGCCTTTCTCTGGTCGCGTCCTTCTTCCGCTCAGCCGCATTTTCCGGCGCCGTCTGGGAGCGCTTCCTGCCACCCGATCACCGTGATATCATTGCCCAGTCTCCTAACGCCGCCGATTTTCTCACATCTCTCTCTAAGAGGGATCTCTACTTCCGTCTCTGTGACTTCCCTGTCCTACTCGACGGTGATACCAAGGTAACCGTTTGATTCTTGGTTCATTACCGTAGATATAATTAGGAGATTCGAGAATTTTAAATTCGACAATTTATTGATGGAAATTTTCAGATTAGACATGAAGCATGTTTGGTCACAGATGAGTAATTTTACAGTTCTGCCATAGCTCCCATAGGAGAGTAACCCTGATTTTGGAAGTAGCAAAGCATATTTTTTCAGTGGCAATTAATCCGAATGTACTATGAACTTGTTTGGATATGCTTTTGTCGACAACTTTAAAGCTCATTAGAAACTCAAAACTTTTCCTACTTATAAACCTATTTTTGCCGTACTAATCCGACAACTTTTTACCAAATCAGTAACTCGGACACCGAACAGTGTATTAATTAATCATAAATGCAAGTAAAGACAATGTAAAGTTAGTTACTTAGTGACTAAAATGGGTGATGGAGTGGGTAGGACTATTTTAACTATTTTAACTATTTTCATACTTCTTACTCCCTCCATCCAATTGAAGGTGCCCCATTGAAGGTTATCATTCCATTTCAGCAAATAATTTACCAAATTTAATTAAACCTTTACTCAATTTTTTTTCCTACTCATTACATGTAAATCTCAAAATTTACCCTCTCCAACTTATCTCACTTTAATTACTCACTTATATGTTTAATTTTTCTAAATTTTCTCTTTCCTCTGTTTTTTTATCCAAATTACTCTATTGAATCACTTGCCTAAAAAATGTGTCATTTACCCACGGGAACCTTCCAACGAGATGGAGGGAGATTGATTTTGCTTTATGTTATTAATAAAATGTGTTTTACTTTTTTCCATAATTCAGTAAATTCATCCAATTCATCCGTTTCAGCCATAATTTCATTGATTTCATCAGATTCAACTAATTCCATTGTTACCAAAGAGTCTCTAAGTTTAAAAATGATGTTTGGGCCCATTTTTTATAGCATGCTTTAATAATTCTCATAGAACTAAATATAGGGAATTTCAAAGTCGATGACTAAAAGTCTCTATAAATTTTCAAATGGAAAAAATCAAAGTCGAATACCAATGTCTACATTAATAATCGGACTATCACATTAACAATAACACCTAAGCCTTAACAATAACACCTAAGCCTTAGTCTCAAAAGAGTTTGAGATCGACCGACAAGAATAGACACATGAAATTCGAGCTAAAAAGATAAGATAAGATAAACATAAAAATAATTACTCCCTCCGTCCCCCTAAGTTTGGGACGGAGGGGTGTGGTGTGGGTTTTAAGAAAAAGTGGAATTGTGTGGTTGGTATTGAATTGATAAAGTGTAAATAAAGTAAGAATGAATTCTAACCACTCAAATGTTACCAAATATGGTATGGGACAAACTTAGTGGGACGGACGAAAAAGGTAAAACGGGACAAACTTAAGTGGACGGAGGGAGTACTTATTTATGACTCAAATGAAGATTGTTTACAAAAATGTGACTAGCGAGTACAGTAGTAACATAACCATATAAATTTATGTTCAATTTTCAAACTTAAGTGATCATGAATTCATGACACTATACTATAGTACTCCCTCCGTCTCTTAAAATTATTCCCACTTACCTTTTCTGGAAGCCCCAAAAAATTCTTCCCATTTCCCTCTTTGGAAAGTTTTGTGTGACTACCATTCCCTTACCCTTTTCTTCCTCAACCACAACCATACATTTTCATTTTATTACCTTTTTCTTAAACTCAGATCCAAGTCAAACCAGGTCATCGGGAAGAATTTTGCAAGACAAAGGGAATACCTATTAGTCATATTTGTGTAAACAAGTTTTATTTTAGTAATATTTTTGAAAAAAACTCAAAAAGATAAGATGAAGATATGATAAAAATAAAATAAGATAATGTTAAGATAAAATATAAGATAAAAAGAATAAAAAAATAAGATAATACGGATAAAAGGATAAAGAAAATGAAAGATAAAGAAGATGAAAGGATAAAAAGATAAATGGATAAAATTTCTGAAAAGAGATCAATCCTCCACATGAATATTCTCTCTCTATTTTTATATTTCCAAAGTCATACTCTCATTAAAGCCATGAAAAAATATATCACTCATGACTCCTCTAACCCACATTGGAGGACCACAAATGACAATTTTTTTAACCAGATGTGTATATTTGTAAATCTACTTTCATCAATGAACATAAAACATGTGTACACTTGTGGAAGATGTTTTTTCCTATACATTTCTTTAAAGCTTTTGGCAATTTGATGGTCATCAAACACCACTGTTGCTTGCAAGCAGAGTTTTTCACTGGAGAAAAAGAGTGGGAAGAAATGCTATATGATAGCTGCCAGGGCCCTTAATATTGTGTGGATGGACACACCTGGATACTGGCAATGGATCTTTCTCCCACATTCCAGGTATACACTACTCCTGCATTTACACTTGACATGCCATTTATGTTATCGCCTTTTGGATTAATGCGTTTATAGCTTATTTTTAAATTAAAGAAATAAGTAACATATATATTGCTTTATGGATTATGACATTTATAGCTTTCAAATTAGCGAGCTAAATAATTTTTGTGATTTCTAGATTTTGTTAATTTAAAAGTACTACGTATGTCATTATTAACAAATTCTGATTGGTCATAATTTGTTAATTTGTTAATTTTTTGTAGGTGAAACTATCAAATCACAATCATTTGACAAAGTCTATCCAACCTTCCCAATTTTAAACTTTCAGACTGTTTTATTTATAGTTTTTTACTTACAAATTAAAATGATGGGGTTTGTAGATTTGTGAAACTGGCATTACCAATCAGAATTCGTCAAAGTCTATCATTTTTAATGAGGGGTGTAGTATATGTTTAAAACATCTCCAACCAGCAAAAGTTCAAAGGTGTCCATGAAGGTTGACTGTAAAGTTCCCACATCACCAGAAGTTGAATTAAGCTCATGAGGTCTATGTGAGTCCCAATTTAGTTCCACATCTGGTCCCTCTTGAGCGTGTTGGTAACTTGGGATGTTTTTACTTGGTCTGGTCTGGTAAGTGTCTGGTTGGTAAGTGTCTGGTCTCTGTGTATTTTATAATTATGAAAGTTTGTTTATGTTTGATCTGGTATGGTGTGGTTTGTTTAAGTCTGGTTTGGTCTGGTCTGGTCTGAGACTTAAATCAGTCCAAGTAAAAACATCCTCGGTGCAAAAGAAACTAATCTTCCAATTTGGTTGAAAGCCAACACTCATGGGCCAATATTTGACTCGCACAGTCTGTCAGTCCTTTCACAAAAGTACATTCTGTCATTGTTTCTTTGATAATAGTTGGTAAAAATAGAATATAAAGAGTATTCCCCTTGGTGATGTATGGTGTAAAGGGCTGGACTAGAAATACTATTTGAAGTTAGGTTTACACTTTCCACCATTTCTGTGTGAAAAATGAAAGCACTAGAGATTGCCAAGGCATACTTCAACTACGCAAAAATGAGTGTTCATGGAAAGTTTAATTATGCCCCCAAACTATGTAGTCCAAATTGAATAAAGAAGCCATCTTCTTATCAAGTAGGTTGAATTTCGTTAAATTATAGGATTTATAGCCAGAGTTGATCATTATTATACCTTACGTCCTAACGAGAAATTAAAAGTTAGATCTCGTAGAGTGACTCTTTCAGGACAAAGGTACTTATTGTAGTATATGTTTAGTATTTGTTGCTTCTGGAACCACATAATATAGATGCAAATTTTAGTCTGAGACCTTATGTATGTTCAATGAATAATAAATCATAGTTTATTTTACTTTCTTTTGATTCACTGTATAATCTGCTCACATATTGTGATGGCTCATGGCTGCATCTGATTTTCTTTTCTCGTGGGTAGAATCAACAATATTAAACTTACCTGAGAATGTTGGGTATGCATTATTATATTTGTACATTTGCTTGATTATAAATTTGTGAAACAACATGGACCAGGCATGAGGGCTCCTACTTATCATGAACTTCCTGCATCTCATAAAAGAAGTAGAACATGTGAAGGGGCATTTTAAACCGTATAAGGATATTTGCAAGCGATATGGTTGTTCATTTATACTTCGTATTTTTTTTATAAGCATTGCTTTTTGTGGGAATGCTGCGATTTGCTTAGCACTTTTGCTATTAAGCAAAGCCTCATCTCATATCTTTTGTGCGCTTTTTTCTCTAAAAAAGTTTGTCAGTTTTTGGTAAAAAAAATTGGCAGATAAAGTTGATAATGTGAAAATAAGGGTCACCAAATGGGTTCTAAATGTGAATGATATCTCTGCTTTTTCTATGAATGAATTAACAGGTTTCCCGAAGTGGCCGAGCTTCTGGACGTCTGCTGGCTTGAAATATGTGGCAAGATAAAAAGCACCCTTCTGTCTCCAAACACGAACTATGCAGCATACCTTGTCTTCGCATTGCAACCAAGAACGTATGGCTTTCATCACAAGCTAGTTGATGCTTCCATTGACATTATTGGTGGATATGGACAAGCCAAAAAACAGACTGTTTATTTGAGCACCCAAGTAGAGAGGGAAACTCATCCACTGTTTGCACCTAGGGAGTTTATGAATGCTGTTGCTGGGGAAGAGAAGGCTGCTAGGTTGCCGAAGATGAGAAGTGATGAATGGATGGAAGTTGAGCTGGGAGAGTTTTTTGTCACAGATGGGGAGGACAGAGGTGATATTTGTGTGAGCTTGAGGGAGGTAAGAGGTCACTGGAAGAGGGGTTTGAATGGTTTGATTATTGAAGGGATCGAGTTTCGGCCCAAGGAGGAGACGGATAAATAAATAGGTGTAATTACAATCTTTTAATTGAAGCTGTACATGTTTTTAGTTTTTTATGAATGTTTTATTAAAAAAAAAACATGTATTAAATACTCTTCCCGTCCCCCCCCCCCCCTAAAAAAAAAAAAACTCTTCCCATCAAATTCCTAGTTTCCCGTCAATCATGGTATTAAGGGCCAATTCGTCTTCATGATATATCTACACAAGTTGTGTGCAAATATTGTGCAAGTTTGGTGCAAATGTTGTGCAATTAATCTTTATATGTGGTAGTATTTAATGTCTCTCTAGCTAATTCATATGCTCATTATATATTTACTTTAATGAGAAGAGTGTAAGGATGTTTTCTTTTGGACTTAAATTTGCTGGTCCGGTCTGCTCTGAACTGGTCTGGTCTTGTAAACGTCTTGTCTCTATGTATTTTATAACTACAGAAGTCAAGTCTGGTCTGATCTGGTCTGGGACTGAAAATCGTCAAAGAAAACATCCTAAGCCGTACTTAGTAACTTAATGACTTCAGGATTTTAAATTAATGACTTTACACTCATTTTGCATGTGAGAAATGAACTTATTAGTATAAGTTTTGAAATTGATATGATCTATGTGATTCCAACTGCTAATTGTAATCACGATGCACTATTTTGTAGGTCTTTATGTTTCATTGATACCAATGAAACATTCGTGGTTAAATTCGAAGTCTTTGTATTAGGAGGCATGAGATAACATCTTCTATTCCAAAATTATTTCTTCCATCAATGGAGTAATAAGGGCATCTCAAAGTTAAGGTCTCCCCAAATTTGGGGGAAGCCAAACAATTTTACCCACCCCCAAGTCCCCAACCTATTTTTGTAATTTTTTGTAATTCTTGAATTCCTTGAACCAAACTACTTTATTATACTACATGGTTATAGTGGGCTTAAACACAACCTAATTTGTGTGGTGTAATTTTTTTTTGGGAATTTTTCAGAAATAAGCTAAAGAGTGGAAATAATATCATTTTTGTCACTAGCTAAAGTTTTTTTCAAAACTAGACTACTTAAGCTTTTTCTTTCACTAATAGACCATGCTTCAGTATGGACTCCTTCGCAAGCTATGTTCAGTATCTTTACTCCGTAATTGAGAACCTACGTATCTCTGCTCTCTAGTGGCCTATTTGTTGAACTCATAAAATTCTAGGAATTATTCTTTTTTTGTTTTTTGTTTTAAATAGAATAAAATGTGTGTGTGTATATATATATATATATATATTAAAACATCAAAAGAATCGAATACAAAAAATTGGAAATAAATTATGAGTGTGAAAACAAAATTAATTAAGAAACTAAAGAAAAATTCAAAGTAAAAATAAAAATTTCAAAAAAAGTTGTAATAAAAATGCCAATTGAACCTATAAGTTAAATTTAAAAAACAACTATGAAATATAAAATAATATAAAAAAGTTCTGGAACTATTAAAAATATGAAACGTAATTAGAAAATTTGTGAAAGATTACTTTTTAATATTGGAATATATGCAAAATAAAAAATCTAAAAAATTCAAATAAATATATAAATTGAAAATATTCAAAAAAAAAATCAAATTAAATACGGAATATTTAAAGAAAAATATATATAGAAAATATAATTCATAAAAATAAAAAGTAAGAAAATCAACGTAAGCTCATAAGCGTGTGGAATTTTAAAAAAAAAACCTATAAACCTAAAAGTTATAGACAAATATGTAAAATAAATAAATAAAAAATGTTTTAAAACTACTCCGTATAAGAAAACCATGGAAGGCATTTCAAGATTTTTATGAAAAGAATAAACTTTAAAAAAATGGAAAAGAAATAAAAAACTAAGAAATTTAAATAAGTGTTTAAATTAGAAAAACTCAAAATATATATATATATATATATATATATATATATTAGTAAAATAAAAACAGAAAATAAATTCTTAAAACTGGGAAATAAATTAAATTATAAAACATAAAAAAATAGAAGAAATCAGAAATAAAAATATGAAAAATGAAAATTAAATGTAAAAAATTAAACCTGAAAATTTTGAAAAAAATTGTTTATTTTGTTGCATTACTTTTTGTATGGTTATTTTTTTTGTTTCTTTCTGTTGATGAATTTTCATATTTTGTTTCTTATTGTTTAATTTTGTTTCTTATTGTTTATTTTTGTTTCTTATGACTATTTGCAATTTTATGAGTACACACACATGTATAGGGTGTCTTAGTGCCAAAGTAGAAAAAATAACTGGAAAAATAAATACAAAATTAAGAATAATAAATAAAATCAGGCATTATTAATCAGTATCAACAATAAACAACAAAATGAAACAAAAAAAAACAACAAGATGCAACAAAAAACAACACAATAAAACAAAAAGAAACAAAAGGGAAAATACAACATACAATACATTTAAATTTCATGTTTCATATTCATGTTTAGAATTACAAATATCATTACACAATATATAAGAGTGTACAACCAAGCTCATTTTCTAATCTACATTTACAAGTAGTCTAAAGGATAAAGAATGTCCTTGGGATGCAGTATTTCATACATGAAGAACAACCCTAAAAACATGTAGAGTTGCACATCTTCACACTTCTAACTTCTAACGAGAGATGGTTCTTCACATCCATATAGGGAAGCCGTTCACATGCGATTCAAGAAGCAGGGAGATGCTTCGTGGTCATTTAGCTGCTCACTTCACTTCTACGAAAACGCATGCTGCTTATAGCAATATCTCATCAACACCCATCAATTCCCCATGTGCTCCAAATTGGGTTCATCAATGAAATTCAAATTCAGATATCTAAATTTGACCCGCATATACACAAAGCCTAAGAGAATGAATCCAGACTATGAGGATCCTGTAATATTATCATCACGGAGGAGAACACTTAGCACTTCTGCGATCATCCAAACTAATGTGAACTGTTTAATTTCTGTAGCAACTCCTTGTGGGGAAGTGAAAGAACAACATGGGAAATTTTTGCAATAACACTAAAAAGAATCCCATAAGGCCATAATCAGATGTTGTATAATGATGTGGTGACTAAATTTGGAAGAACCCATAAAAGTGACAGGCTGTAGCAAAAAGAGCCATTCATTCACTCTGTACTATCAAATAATCAGAAGATCATTCAGTTGTTTTTCCATGGTGTATTGAGCTCCCTAATGAGGATGCTAATCTGGACACCACTACGGAAGGAACTAAAGCTGAGGACAAGACCAAAAGGATACACAATAAGCATGAGAAGTAAAGACATACTCTGTAAAAGAAAGTAGACTATTTTATGAAAGGAGTATTTGTTCAAACCTCAGAAATTCTCAAACTGTTTTATGAAAGGAGTATTTGTTGAAATTTCAGAATTCAACAAATTAAATAATCAATTTGAGAATATCCTGTTACTGCCTAATAAATCACTAATCTATTGGATTAATTAACATTTAAGAACTCAAAAAATGTCCTTTAGAGTGAGTAAGAAGATGTGTTTTCAATTAAGCTATAAACAACCATGATGTAATAAAAGAGAAATGAGTCATTCACTCTAGAAGAAAAGAACTTCAATTAGGGCAAACAAAAATACTGAAAACAAGGTATCGATACAAGACCGTGATTAATGCTAAATTTAATTTTTGCAATAAACAAAGCTGAATCGGAAATATAACTAAAGATTAGCTATATGAATTAAAATTAAAAATTAAAGCGAAATTAAAATATAATGTTCATAATCTCAATCACATACCTGCAAATGGGAAACCAAAGAGGCAATTAGGCAACGAATCAGTGAGCAACCGAGCAGGCAAAGGCGGAGGCGGCACCTGATGAGGGGGAGGGGAAAACAGCCGCACACATCTATGACGTTTTTGCTTAAATTTTTCAGTTTGACCAGCGGTGAGGTCATGAAGACTGAAGATGAGCAAACCGTCCAAGTCACCGCTATGTGCATATGTCTGAAGCTCCCCTACTGATGTTACTTGCCGCGCTCGCCTTAGATCTCGCCGCCGCTCCAGATGATAGCCGCCGTTGCCTCAAAGGTCCCCTGCGAACTTGAAGTTGTGGCATACGTCCACCGTCTCTACGGGCCCCCTGTTATTACAGTCTGCAACTCGATCTTGGAGAAGGAAGGTTTTCCTCCATAGATGACCGAAGATGGACCGATATTTGATGCGAGAAATCGACGTTTCGATTGGGGATTTATTTAGATTTTGATTAGATTATTTTTGAAATAAATTAGCTAAAAGTGAAAAGGTGAAAGTTTATAAATGAAAAGTAAAAAATTAGAAGACATAAATGAAATGCAGTTAGGAAATATAGACCCAAGCGGATATTTCCACTTTCTTTTTTCTCTTAGCCCACCCACGTATAATATCGAAGTTTTGTATAATTATTTTGCAGTTCAACCTAAATTTCTGAATCTGCCCTTACCCCAAGACCGACTTTAAAATATTATAACTAGACCGATATAAAAAGAATCACAAAACTTTAGGAATTAAAAAAAATGTGTAAGAGAAAAACAGGTTATTTAAAATTAGAGCATGAATGGAAATGATCTAATCAAATCATGCTTAAGTAAAGAGCAATTACAATTCTTAACTTATGAAAGTAAATAGCCTTTTATGACCAAACACTTATTCTTAAAATAGATTTAATTTTTCTATGAAAATAGTAAAACATGAATACCATTTCAAAATATGAGTGAATGAGTTCTATTTGGAAGCGAAAAAATGAAAGATAACAACACTTGAAAAAAAAATGCTATGATATCATTGATATGTATTACTACTTCCATTAAAATGACACGCTTTTTTTATTAGACAATACTAATTAAATAAGATGATTTGAATATATTATGAGAAAGTGTTTGGGCGAGCATAAAAAATGTGATAATTAAGAAGTTACTCCATGCGTCCCCTCTTAAACTTATTAACTGAATGAGTTCTATTTGGGCCAGAATTTAATGAGGTTAGCTACGGGCTGTGTTTTAAGGTGACCGGCCCGGCCGGTTTGGGCCCAATATTTTTTAAAATTTTTTCCCATTGGGCTGAGTGCTAGGTGGGTGGGGGCTCAACGGTTTGGAGGGGTTTGGGGGGTGGGTGGGGCTCAACGGTTTGGAGGGGTTTTGGGGTGGGTGGTTGGAATTAATTCAAAACGACAAAAAAGAAGTTATTTCATCATTTTCATGCCCGATTCGGTCCCGGTACTAACCCGGTCCGGTACCGGGCCCGAATATTTTGGACCTGGAGCCCACCCAAGCCAGGCCCGGAGCCTGACCTGACCCAGACTCAGTCCACCTTGAGGCATAACCAGACTAAACTAGCAAATAAATTTTAGTTCAGGTAAAAACATTCAAATAATCCGAACTACTATTACTGCGGAGTATCTTTTTAATAACCTCAAAGTACCGTGAAACCATTTAATTTCGATCTATTTTTCGGATGAAGTATATAAGAAGTATTTTTCGGAGTATCATATTCCTATTTGAAAACAATTTCAATTTATTTTTTAGGTCTTATAAAAGTGGACCGATCTATTTTAAACAATATCAATTTATTTTTTTTAGGTCTTATAAAAGTGGATCGATCGAGTATACAAGTACACATATCGAATTATTATAACTACATATCGAATTATTATAACTAGACTAGATATCGTTTTTAAACAAGGACAGACCGATAACATGAGACTATTATTGAATATTGATACAGTCTCATGAGTATCTTCAATTGAGATCACTCAAATTTAATCATGAATATTGTTGGGACCTCATGGATAATCAATAATTGCGATTATTGAAAATGAATGTCATATCATTATCTTCAATTTCACCTATTTACAGGAGAAATAGTATACTGAGAAGGAGAGTTAACCCATATTTTAAGGGATTAATAAGAGAACAAAAGCATACGCATGTACGTACATGCATGCATGCAATTTCTCCATCCATCTCTTCCGATAGCTTCCATTTCCCTAATAAAAAAATTTCATTGATCTTCTTCTATCTGATTTCCTGGCACTTACATACTCGCCGTTAGCTAGCTTGAATTCCCCTCCTTTCCATCATCTTCGTGGCTAGCTAGCGTGCGTAGGGTACCTCCGGCCCGAGGACCGACCGACAACCTTCCCTTCCAATCCCATCCTCTTCTCATCAATTCATTATAGTTTGTTTCCCCTCTAGGTAATAATCATCATATATTCATATCTATTTGGGCTGGCTGGTTTTGATCTCACCAGGCATGTTCATGTTCATGCCATATCATGAATGCAAATGTGGAGCATATGTATAATGTATGTATATAGCTAGGCGTATGATTTGATGTCGAATGCTATCGAAGTAGCATCGTGGTGCGGGGAAATCATCTTGTTGGAATTGGCCCCAACACCGGAACATCAATCCGGTAGAGGAGAAACGGCAGCCACCGCTGCCGCCATATCAAGATATGAACTGTTTCCCCTGTTTTCAAAAGAAAGAAGATGACATTGATAAGGAGCAGTCGGAGCAGCTTCCTGTTGCTCAACCAAGAGAGCTTCTCCTCCCCTCCCCTCCCCGCCCTGTTCCGTCTCTTAACAAGGGTACGTGCAGAACCGTAACTAGGATGAGATATATTTAGTTGGGCCGGTCTACAGAGTACAAAATATTTTTGAATAAATTTATATGTGCATATGTATATGCATTGCATGCACCATGCAAACAAACAAATCTAGAGTCACATTTATATGAGAAAATTAAAAGGAATATGACTAACAAATTATTATTCCTAAATTAATTGGGATTTGGATGTATGGTATGTGTTTCATACTACTTTTCTCTCTTCAATTTACAAATTATTACTCATATACAGACATGTTTATGTTTTTAGTCACATACTCGTATTAGAAATCTATAAATATTTTAGTCGAATTTACATAAATTTCCGTATTTATATCTATAGAAATTGGCAAACTGTATAGGTTTAGATCTTAGGGCAAACATTTAGGGCAAGTTCGAACGAAAAACATTCTTTTACCAAAAAATGTGGGAAGATGGTTTTTAAGTAGTTGCTCATGATATGAATATAACATAGAAAAACTTCAAATTAAAATAGGATGCTGAAAGTTAATTTCGATGGAGGATACTTTGATTTGCTCACTTAGTTCCATAAATTATGCTTGTGAACATTATAAGTTCTATATATTTACTCAATTGCATAGTATCTCCTGTAATGAATGAATTTTCTACATTAGGAACACTTAATTATGTTGGGATGTGTAAACAGAAAAGCTCACAAGAACATATGTTGCCGATATTGAGTTCTCGACAGGAAGTGTACATTAAATTCTGATACAAATGAAGTTAGACAACTAATAATTAATGACCATATGCTTATGTTATGACACTAAATCTGATTTTTTATAATAGTATATAAATGATGTTCCACATGTAATATATGACTAATAAGAGTGTTTAAGGTTATTTCATAATGCAAGATTGGTAAAAAATATGTGAGATTTCTGGCCAGTGCCATTTTTGTTTGGAAAGAAGGGGAACCATATGTATTTTTACTTGCATAAATTGAGGTAACAAACACTATATAATATGTGTAGTGAATGGACCACCAGTTTTATTTATTTATAATATCGTTATCCGAATTCAGTAACGTAATGATGCAATTATACCAGCACATGGATAAAAATCAAATTAATTATTACAAGGGCTGGTTAATCACAGTACATGCATGCATATATGGCTGCAGAATGTAGTACGACAACACCACCGGAAGTGATTCCTCCACCCGCTGTTTTAGACAACAACAAGCAGCAGGCAGTAGACAAAGGGAGCGTAGAAAGTGGAAATTCCAACGCCAAGACTTTCACTTTCCGGGAGCTTGCGAGTGCAACAAAGAACTTCCGGCAAGAATGCCTCATAGGTGAAGGTGGATTTGGAAAAGTATTTAAAGGAACACTTCCAAATGGGGAGGTATATTTAGCTAATTCAAACCTAGTAATCAAACCATTTCCCTAATAGCTAAATAGCTAATTCAATACAGCAATACGACCAATGTTGGGTCTATCTTCTATCTCCTTCAATGTTGCGCTCCAATCCGATCCAGGATTAAAACTTTTAAGTCTAGATCAATTGGGCAACGCAATCAATATTTCATTTTATGAAAAAAATCTTGCAGTGTATCTAAGCATAAAATTAAGAGAAAATTAAGTGAAAGCAAGACTCCTAACTTATACTCGGCCAAATGAGGCTCTGTTACTAACTATATTAAGCTTTGAGACTACATCATAAACATTATCTCTGACAAGTTTAAGATCTTACATCTCTGTAGCTAAACATCCCTCTAAATGCAGGTGGTTACTGTTAAGCGGCTTGATAGGACAGGAGCACATAACAGTAAGGAGTTCTCTGTAGAAGTGCTGGTCTTAACCCTTCTTAACCATCCTAATCTTCTGAACCTTATTGGCTATTGCGCTGATGGAGAACAAAGACTTTTGGTCTATGAATACATGCCAATTGGTTGTCTCCAAACCCATCTTTTTGGTGAGTAGTAAATAGAATACGGAGTTTAAGTTTAAGGTGTACAGACTTCTGGACATCATATTATTTGTTTTTAACTTTGGCTTCATTTGTGTAACAATTGCAGACATTCCAGAGCATAAAGAGCCACTGAATTGGTCGACTAGAATGAAAATAGCCTCTGGAATAGCCCAAGGACTAGAATATTTGCACGAAAAGGCCAACCCTCCCATCATATATAGAGATTTGAAATCTTCAGCCATTTTGTTGGACGAAGATTATAATCCTAAGCTTTCTGATTATGGTCTTGCTAAGCTTGAGGGGGGAGGGGGAAGCAATACACTCTTAAAACCAAGGGTTATGGGAACCGGTTATTGTGCGCCAGAGTACGAAAGAACCGGCGAGCTCACTTTGAAGTCTGATGTTTACAGTTTTGGTGTGGTTTTGGTTGAGCTCATTTCAGGCCGCCAAGCCGTGGACACCGCAAGACCAATAGATCAACAAAATTTAGTGGAGTGGGTAAGTAATAAAAATTAAATTTAATGCTAAATTTCATAAACTATATGGGCATGTTTGGAGTTTGGAATTGATTGTGCTTAGGCTTCTTTTTTAAGTAGAAATAGAATCAAAATTGGTTTTACAGAATACTTTTGAACTTTGAGCCAAATAATCCTACCTAATGGAGGAGAAGCAATTTTGAGAAGATAGAAACACCAAATTTAATGATTGATTGCGAGTTATCGCTTCAATAGAACAAAAGTAAACTAACAATGCAAAATGACTTTGATTTACCTACAGGCACGACCCATTTTCAGGGATCCAAAAAGGTTCCCAGAAATGGCAGATCCACTTATGAAGAACGCATTTCCAATGACAAGTTTGAACCAAGCAGTAGGTGTCGCCGCCATGTGCCTCCAAGAAGAAGCATCAGTACGCCCTCTGTTCGGTGACGTCGTCGCTGCTCTTAGTTTCCTAGCAGCGGCTCCAATAGAAGAACCGTCAGTCCCCGTTGCACCGCTTCCGGACCAGACCCAACCATCACCGGAGAATCCAAATGAAAATACATCCGACAGCGACAGTAGCGATGATGAGGACCAAAACAGTGAAAACAGTTCCTCTTCCTCGGATCAAAGTGAGGATGAAGGAGAAGGAGAGGAATCAGAGTCCAGAAGAGGCAATTCTAAAAGGATAAACTCAAGATCAAGTAGCATCAGAAGCAATTCATCATCCTCAGATGATGGAAATGCATCATCAGATGATGGAAATGCAAGTGATGGTTTGAGCCCAAGGCGGAGCAGAACCGCCTACAAAGACGACCAAGAGAGCGATTCCATCAACTGGAGAAATGACAGAATCTCAGATGCCGATGAAGACGTCGGCGACATGAGCTTCTGTTACAGCGTTAATGCCAGTATGAATTTGAGATCCAGCAGTATTGCGGAATCAGATGATGGGAGGAGTATGAGATCCAGTTTAAGGAAGGAAGGCAGTATGAAATCTGAGAATCAGAATTTTGGTTCATACTCGTCAACAAGCAGCGATGAAGAACTAGATGAAGATAAAGCTTGGCATTGATTATATGTATCCATTTTCTGTAATTTTGGTGAACCATCAAGGAAATGTGCATATCCATTTTGGTGATTCAATTACTTAAATGTTTATTACTGATTTAATTTCATTGTTCATTTGGTATCTACTAGGCGTGTTCGTCGGGTCGGTTTGGTCAGTTTCAGTCGGTGTCAATCAGTTTTTTTGGTCAGTTTTCAAAAGTGAGGACCGGTAATCACAGGTAATCAAACCGAATGGAATTCAGTCGGTCTGTTTAATAGTCAGTTTCGTCTGTCGGTTTTCGGTTTACTCACCTACGCTTGACAAAATACAGAAAACATGTCTGCCAGAAAGGCTTTTTCCCACCACTTATGCACATTCAATATACACATATTACATGTATACAGTATACTAACACCAGCAAAACAACAGTACTTCAAAATTAAAAAGTTAAAATTCTTGCCACCAAATCATTAGAGATTTTAAGAGTTTCAAAAAGATATGCTAACCCCCAAATTAAATTCTTTAGCAGATTCATGTAATAATTCTACGTTCTGAATGGTCAAAAGGGCTACATATATTCTGTCATTTTATCCATAGTTTTCCATTAAAAAATGAACAACAACAAGGGTTTAAGAATTAAGAGAATAAAAAAATGTAAGATTAAGTTAATTAGCAATAAAACTAAGTTCTTTGATTTCCTAAAGTAATTTTGTCGAACACTTTGGAGGCAAGAAGGTCAAATACTTTAAGTTAACAATCTTGATTCTTGAATGTGTGAGGCACTAAAAGCATGAAACAAAAAAACTACCTGGAATAATGTTTAAACAAATTTAGGTTGTTCAAAGTTCTAACTCAAAACCCACATATGGAAAGTGGCTGGTCGAATCACAGTGGAAGAACATAAAATTTCTAAATGATAGTTGTATTGTTATACGGAGTATTAGAAAACGAAATCACTTACTCAGAACAAAAAGATCTTTTCATGTGCTGGCCATGAATAGCTTGGGCAGTACCGTTTCGTGCTGGGAGCAATTGAGCTCAAAGCATCAAGCAAAGATAGCTGGGCATATGACTTCCTCGGTCGGTGCGTAATATCTAAAACTTAACTTACAACCGAAAGTGTGGGTTTTTATTTCAATCAAATTTAGTTGGTTTTATCATTTGGTTTGAATCGGTTATTCACTTCCTTCAACCGAGCAGTCATGATACAGCGGGAGCGATGCATGCTGAACATTCTAGTTACATGTTACATGGGTAAAACGCGTGAATCAACATACAACTTCATTTAATCAAAATATAAATTACACCTACTATCTTATTCCTTAAAAAAGCTCGGTTCCTCCCATCAACCGAGATGTGACCCGACACAAGAACGGCCGCCTAACTGCCTTCAAAATATAAATTACACCTACTATCTTATTCCTTAAAAATATTTACTGCCTTGGTGAGATAAGTTGTATCGAAAGTTATCACATCTCCAAAATCTCTATAAGCATACCGGCACTGTTTGTCTGCCCAAAAGACATTGCGAAGGCGAGATTCATCATCTACATCAAGGGCAAAGAAAAAACTGGGGCACTCCGCTTGCATTTTGCAAAAGAAACTTTGAATTGCAATGGCGTCACCATTTCCTAAACGCAAGCGGCAAACCTTGTCAACGTAGTTCCTACAATCCTTTTCAATGAATGGTAAATTCTCATAACCGCCCGCTTCAACTACGGCAGAGGTGTAGGTTTTGTGAAGAGGAATTCCGGCAACAACATTTATTTCAATTTTTCTCCTCGCGCTCATAGTCAATCTCCTATTGCAACGAAAAGCTCTAGTTTTGGTAGGACTCATGGGGTGGTTATGCTGTTCATGCACTTTTGAAATAACCCATGACCCGGCGTAGTCATACATGACTTTGATTCCGGCTTTGCAACCAATTGCACTAGTAGCTCCAGGCAACAACAAATTTGTTGACTTTGAAACTCTATTTCCAGCACGGCCACATTCAATTAACATTCCTGTTATGTTTCCTTGTTTGTCTTTCGTGGAGCTCCTAATTCTAATGGGAAAACCTATACGTTTTGCGTAATTCTTGTAGTGATCATAGGCTTCATCTTTTCCCGCAAACAACATCCCAACTTCTACATGGACGTCTGGTGTACCATCATCTACATTTGTGTTATCCGGGTCTGAGTGAAGACATATAAAAAAATTAATTTTTACTAATATAAACGTGTGTGGACAAGCAATAACATCACAATAAATTACATAACACATTTACATAATACATAAACGTGTGTGGACAGGTAGTAAAAATACAAACATGTACTTCATTTGGTCTCTGTGTACAGATTGTATAATAATACAATCATTTACATCACTTCATCGGTGTACAACGGCAATATGAAAACAAACATTTACTTCACTTCTTCTCTGTACACAGACAATAGTAATGGACTAATATAAAGGCATAAAAAATACAAATATTTACTACGGAGTACATGGATAATACAACACATCAAATACAATACTTTTACTTCTACACCAGGTGAAACATATACAAATGTTACACTAACACAAGTGGATGGTAAACTATACGAATACAAAGTTATAAGAACATACAACAGGTGAAGACTGAAAATATAGAAATGTCTGTGTACACAGACATTACGTTCCACGTACCTCCTTCATGATCAGCGTCCGGAATATGTTTTTCCTCTCCGTCGCCGACGTCTTTCGTACTGGGTTGAGCTTCATCTCCGGTCGCCGATGGTTCAGAGCCGGAATCCATATTTTCGGGTGCCATCAACTCGCCCATGTCGTAGCTACTGATGAAGGCCATCTGCTCAACGCTATAATCCCTTCGCTTATTACCTTCACACCAGACTCCTACTCCTCCGTCGACCTGTGAAGAAGAAGGGGACAAGAGGAAGAAGAGGCTACAGTGCAATGTGCTCCAGGCTGCGCAAATATGAAACGGGAAGGGGGGAGTGCGTGGGAAAGAAAGAAGGAGAGGAAAGAATGGGGTAAATGGAATGGTAATTTTTTTACCCTTTTATATGATGTACAAATTGTGTACATCTTATGTACCCAAGACTAATTGTTTAAAAAATAGAAGTAAATGCAATCATGAGAAAGAGACGGTGGAGAAGTGAGAAGTCTCGCTCTTTCCAATGCAGCAACACCTGGCACTTTGAGTTGCACTTCCTTGCTGGGACGTGGTTTCCAACGTTTCTCTTTCCCGTTTTTAGTTTTTACCCGCGAAATGCAATTTCTAGAAAGATACTCCGTAGAAGAATCACTTCCAGCACGAAATTTTGCTGACTTCATTTCTTATTGGAGTTTGCCAAAATAACTACTCCGTAATATAATTACGTTCTGCTCTCTTTTATCTAATTGGAAAGGGAGGAGTGAAAGCCAAGCTAGGTATATTTCTATGGAGGAGACGTCGCCGGAAAGGCGGAGTTCTCGCTGTTCTAGTAGCGCAGTCGAGCCTTCCTCCGATTTGGGAGTCGAAATTCTTATAGAAGATGGCGATGCCAATCCCAGCGAGTCGCTCAGAAAGAATTGCAGTAGTGCTGATTTTGCCGGTACTCGCTCTTGTCTCTTTTGCTTTACTTGTTCACTTCTCTGTCAACTTTGCGGACATGGCTTAGAGGGTGTTCGATTTCGTCGGACTAAGTTTGATGTGCTCTAGGTAAGATTTTATGATTGGTAGTCATTTGAGTATCTGCATTGAGTGAGATAATTGAAGAAGACGATAAAGAAAAGGATGCATCTGTCTGCCTCGAACAGACTGGATAGTTTAGCTAGAATGGTGTAAATTGAGCTTGAATAATTGAAGAAAGAGCTTAGAAATCCTGAAGAAAGTAGATTTGGTGTTATATTGTTAATCAAAATGGAGGGAAGCATCACTAATTTGGAGAATCTAGAAACCTTGTTCTCCTAGAGATACATTATTTGCTTTATGCATTTAAAGAGAGACCGAACTAGTATACAATTTTCGGAATTCATTCTTCTAACCAAGTCTGTCCATCCTGATATCCATTTTTCCCACACTACATTCGGTTCTTCACCACATATTTTCATTAGTTCCGATCTAAGATGGTCTATCGTGGACCTATTGACAGGAGTTTTGTCAAACCATATTAATTATTATTAGAAACATGGAAATGCTAGAAGACACTGCTACTCCTTCAATTCCGCTTTCTAAGATCAAGAAATTCAAACACTGACTAGTTATTTCATTTTTAGGATCTAAGTTCTTTGATGAAAAATCTCAGTAAGTGTAAGTTAGTTGAGAACAGACGACAACTTCCAAGTGCAGGGCAGCTTTTGAGATATTCCTTTTTTAGATGTTCTCTTTGGTTTCCATTCCACTGGATTTGCTGTTTTGCTTTAGGGTGAGGGAGGAATAGTGTATTAGTTTAACAGGGGAGTTCACTGTTGATAGTTCCACAAGAGATTCATGGGATCTTAACCACATAGTTTGACCTTTCATATGCAGTAATGTTGAATCCTGAGGTAATTGACGGACATGCATACTTGTTTTTGTGATGAGTTTGATTTTTTGCAGCCCCAATTGCTAAAACAGCTTGCTCCCATTCAATTTGATGGGGCTGTAAAGTTTGAAGTTCTAGGAGAGTTGACTCCTGAACACCTTGTATTTGGTTCAGGAATTACTTACGGCGGGGCTACAGGTGAAGATGCTAGGGACTTATCAGATATTCAAAGCTTACCTCCTTTGCAAATTGTTATGCTCATTGTTGGAACCAGAGGAGATGTGCAACCCTTTGTTGCCATTGGGAAAAAATTACAGGTGAAGACATTATTAAATTACCCATATATCAATCGATCCTTAGATCCCAACTTTATAGAACTTTCCAGCTTTCCTGATTATGAACCTACTTGTGTATGTTAACTCTTAACATCAATAAACTCTTCATTAATTTACACTGATTTTCTCTTTTTTGGAATTAAAAAGTCTCAAGGTTAACAGACACATGCACTTTGCCAAAATAGAAGGTAGTGAAACTAAGACATGTTTAGTGTGCATCCAACTCAAGCTAGAGGTCATAAATTACATTCTCTTTTTGGATCATCATATTAAAGACAAGCATCCAAATCATTACCCGGCTGTTTCTGTTTCCACTCATCCCGCTAAACCTCAGTACAGTGCCTGTCTGATAGAATCATATGTTGTGGCACATAAATAAACAAAATCTACACAAATCAACCACTCTCTCCATACACCAATAACTATATTTCAGCAAATAGTGGCCAATTAATTGATTTGATAGTGTGCAACTAGTCAAGTAATGTATGATGTGGAAGGGATGCATCTCTGTTTTCATCGTGTAACTTTTGCATCTAACCTGTAAATTGTTTTCAACTACAAGGATTTGGACTGTCTAACGATGCCGCTGGCATCGGAAGAAAATATGTTCCAACCTTTACTTGGAAGGAGGGTATACTGTTACTAACATGGATACCTAAGATGGATTGATTTTCAATGCAGTAAATGGATGGAATTGGAATACTCTGGCTTATTATTGTTTTCCTACCAAATTGCAAAGAAGGCTAAAAGCCAACCCTTTTGTCTATTTATGCTTTCTATATGGTGTTCCGATTGTAAATAAAATCTAATCGCTCCAGAAGAATGTTCCCTCCTGTATTAAATGATCCTGAAGAGGTATCTGCTGCAAGAATATGAACCTTTGTCTTCTAAGCAATAATTTCCTAATTATTCAAGCTATGTGTCTGTACCTGAGTTTTCTTTAAATTCCTAATGATTTACAAAAGTAAAACATCTTCCCATCACCTCCTGCATCATTTCAATTATCATTTACAGAATTGTTGTTACAAAAAAAGTAAAAAAAAGTAGAGGCATACAACCAAATAATTATTTTCTTTGCTTTGTTCTGGCAGGAGGATGGTCACAGGGTGAGGTTGGCAACCCACTCCGATTTTAAAGAGTTTGTCTTGGGTGCTGGGTTGGAGTTCTATCCTCTTGGTGGGGATCCCAAAGTTCTTGCTGCTTGTAAGTGTGAAAATGTATATAGCTTACTAATCGCCTCACTGCTGTACTGTTCTCATTTATTTTGACATGTGTTGAGGGTGTAGTAAACGGGTTACTTTTTCGGAATCTGGGTTCTCATCCTGGGCTAAAAGCCAGGCACTCTGCGTGGCCTTGTCTCGATCGTCTAATCGAGCATCTAACTGTGGCAGATTGGTGGGTTCCTTTACATCTATTATTAGACGGTTCCCTTGCGCCAGTACTATGTTGTTTGGTAGACAATCCATTTCTAGTTTTTCTTAACAGAATTACTCGACCTCGAATGTTGTGCTCACAAGGATTGAGGAAGGGAGGCTTGTTGATTCAGTACCACTCATGACTTATCTGTTAATTTAAAAAAGTATTGAAAGCTTTCAACCAATAATTTTTGGAAAAATTAACAAGTATATACATAGAATAACTAAGATGCAGGGACAATGTAATAATTTTGACTGAAGAATCCAGAAGGTTTGGAATTGGTATATAGGGTCTAGGGTTTTCGTGGGTTTAATGACTTTGAAAAATTCCTACCTATCTTCATTGAATTGAATTTTAATTCTTATCCACAAGATATGATTTCAATATCGTTTGGGACTAAGGCTTGGATTTTGTTGTTGTTGTATCCACAAGATATGATTTCAGTTCCTCTAATATGTCCTATATCTAGTCTTACTGTCGTAGTGTAGGGTGTGTGAGAGTGGGTTAAGTTAATCCCCATTTCATGGACAAAGTAAGAGTCAGTTTTCCTAGGGCTCATAAGTGAATAGGCTAATTTCTTAGTTTACATATACAATTCATCTGATTCAACAGTTCCTCACAATGGGGGAAAAGACCCTGGTTTAGTTTAACTCTCAAGATCCTAGAATCCTAGATTTATCCAAGCATGATAGTGATGAAATCAAAGTAATAAATTAAAATTTATGACAGCATTCATAAGTAAATTCAAAATTTTAAATAAATATTTCAACAACAAAAGCTCATGACGTTTGGTACTTAATAAGCTTATTAAGAACTAGAAATAGATTTTTTTGTAGGAACCTACGAATAAGCACTAGTTTTAAACCTCAAGATTGATGTTTGGAAGCAAGGAGATGTTAAAACTTTATCCCTTAATTTATATTTTGTGCGGCGTCGATCGAAAAAAGGAGCAAGATGTCAAACTCATGATCTGGACTACGGTTTATACTCAACTCACTTTTGCATGGGACAGCCAACTGGACAGCTGTCAAGCTCGCAGTTCTCCAATTTCCCAAGTCTTTATTTCTTCTTACTTATGCTTTCAGTTTTTCTGTGCTTCGAATGATGGTCTTAACTCTTAATGGACCCAAAGGACAGTCATCTGTTCTCCATCCTTGCCACGGGCTAACTCTATTTTTTTTTTCCACTTTTACTAGGAGAGACTTATGACAGAAAGATGGTCATAATGCATGTCCTTCCGTTCCTCTAATTATTTCTTTGGCTTCCCTCTTATCTCCGAATTGGTCCAATATTCCGATTCATCTACTTGAACACTAAAACCCTTCTACAAACTGAAACACAGCAAAAATGCAAGAAAGTGCGTCAATTTACCCCATGTTTAACAAGTAACACAAAAAAGGGCTGAGGACTGGATATAATGGATCTATAATGGGGTGCTTGGATCTACTTCTTCAAAGTTTAAACTACTTCTGCTCCTTCGAAGAGTAGAAGTAATTCTAACCGCTTCTAATTGCTCTCTAAAAGCAGTTTTTGAGAAGCTGCTTTCGCTTCTGAACGTTAAAATGACATTTATTAAATATAAATGTAATATGAAGTTTAAAAGGTCTGGGCGGGGTCTGGATTTGGGTCTGGGTAAGTCTAGGTGCCCCTAGAAAGAAGAAGCGGAATCAATTCCATACAGCGCTGTTTATCTGCTTTTGTTTTGAGATTGAAAACGTGCTGTTTTGAACCCCCCTTGCTCATTAAAAAAAGATCCTATCCCACTTGCTTTTATTTCCAGAGGTTTATTTTGGAAGTTAATTGATTTCTATGAATTAACAGCATTGTTTGTGATTTTGGACAATGAATGTTTCACCTTCATTTCTATGAAAGTTTGTGATTTTTAAAGAAAGAAACGTGCTGTTTCTATGCTTTTTCTATGAAGTGTCCATCAACAGCATTGTTTGTGATTTTGGACAATGAATGTTTCACCTTCATTTTTTAATCTTTTTTTATCTTTAATCAGAATTCATACAAGTTATGTTGAGTTCATATTCAGTCAACAAAAGTTGATAGTATTGCTCGGCTTATGCAGATATGGTAAAAAATAAAGGTTTCTTTCCATCCGGACCTTCTGAAATAAAAATTCAGCGCAAGCAAATAAAAGATATTGTATTCTCTTTGCTTCCTGCATGTGTAGAGCCTGATCAAGAATCGAATATCCCATTCGAGGTAGATGCCATCATTGCCAACCCTCCAGCATATGGTAAGTATATAACATAAAGTCATAAACTAGACGTGCCATGTATTTGTTGTCGGTAACAAGTAATTTTTTGTTGTATATGACTTGTTTGTTTAAGGGCATAATGATGTTGCAGAAGCATTGGGAGTACCTTTGCATGTATTTTTCACAATGCCATGGACGTAAGTGTTTTCTATCATTCAGTTTTTTCTCTTCGCACAAAGATAGCAAATTTAATAGTCAACAATGTTGCATGATTGCATTTTATTTCATTTACAAAACATGTTAGAGTTTCTTATGATGATTTTTTTCACGGTGCTCTCATACAGGCCTACAAGTGAATTCCCACATCCTCTTTATCGTGCTTCACAGGCAGTTGCATACAAAGTCTGCTTTTTTTGTCCCTGCCTCCTCATACATATAACCAGTTTTTTATTTTTCCCCACTGTCATATATTTAAAAGATTTAAGTTTTCTTTCAGTTGTCATATCAAATTGTTGACGGATTAATCTGGATGGGCATACGGGATGTGATTAATGGCTTCAGAAAGAAAAAATTGAAACTAAGGCCGACTACATATTTGAGTGACTCCTACAGTTCATCATCTGACATCCCACATGGGTATATCTGGAGTCCGCATCTTGTTCCCAAACCTAAAGGTCATTTCTCCCATCTTTCTATTACAAATTTGCTTCCATACACATTTTATAACTGAGGGAAATGAATATTAACGGGAATGTATTGTTGATGGCACATTTATTAATATTTGTTAATAGAAGGTCAAAGAAATTTGAGTTCTAATGTTTCTTTAAATTGAATATGTCGTACTTCACTATGTCATTGGTCTATACCATGCATGTTAACCATTAATTTGCTTTCCTTCTTTTGCCTGCCCTATTTATGTGATCTTTTGTCCATTTTATATAGGCATGTTCTTTCATGAGTGCAGAATGTGGTACAATGCTACATGCGTTATTATAGTGGTTGTATACTAATAAGCCCACCTTTTCATGTTTCGCAGATTGGGGGCCAAAAATTGATGTAGTGGGCTTTTGTTTTCTAGACCTCGCTTCTAATTTTGATCCGCCAGAACCACTTGTGAAGTGGCTTGAAGATGGTCAAAAGCCCATTTACATTGGCTTTGGTAGTCTTGTAAGTTCGCACTCACCACTTATTTCACACAGATTCCTCAAATTTCAACTTACACATAACACACAACTAAGTTTACATTTATATTTTGAAAATTTCTTCCTTCCAAAAAGTTAACCAGTTCACTTTTTGGCATTTCCAAAGGTGTAATATACTAAATAGATAGAATCCTGCCTTTTCTTTTAGGCTGTGTCATTTTTATAATTCCAGGATAAAATTATGACGTTTTGCTCAAAAATGTCATTCCTAGTCACAAACTGATGCCAATGTATAAGGGTTTGTGTTCCAAAATAAATAACATGCCAGGTCAATTTTCTCTTGATGTATGAGTGTATCACATAACTACTTAACACAACTTCTAGAAAATTGATATTCTTAGCCCAATGCAAAATATTATATGAGCTGCAATCTTGCAGCCTGTTCAAGAACCAGAGAGAATGACAAAGACAATTGTTCAGGCATTGGAAATGACTGGACAGAGAGGCATAATTAATAAAGGATGGGGTGGCCTGGGGAATTGTAAGTAGCTCATTATCTTTATTGTTTTCCTCGTGCAAGCATAACACTTTTATCTCTGAGTAATAGCTATAGGCGAAGAAGATTGGACTTGAGATTTTCCGATAAAAGAGCTCTTTTTATCTCAGTGACAGAGCCAAAGAATTTTGTTTATGTATTGGATAACTGCCCTCACGATTGGCTGTTTGTCCGATGTGCTGCTGTGGTAACACCCTCTTCTCTTAGCTGATTGTATTGTCTACTGTAGCATACTACTAAGCTACTACTTGTGGTCCTATTTATGTTGTCCATTTCATTTAAACCACATGGGTTATATAATTTGCATAAAGCATTTAAATCAAATCTGACTTACCAAAATCACACTATTTGCATTTCTTTTCACATTTAATGCAAGGGTTTCTAATTCATTTCCATGCTTTCCAAAGAACTTTCATTTATGTGTCATAGATTTAAGAAATGGACAGATGATAAGGACCGTATTAAGCTTCAAAATCTGGACATGACTAAGGGACTACGTCCTACCACCACCACACCCAAGATGATTGATATGACTGTAATAGTGACATCACAAATGAGTTGTCCAACAACGTTCTAAAATGTTTTAGATTTTATGATGAACTGTGCAGGTGCATCACGGTGGTGCAGGAACAACTGCCGCTGGTCTTAAAGCTGCGGTAACCCTTACAAGATGTACAAAATAAAATAACCATGAATCGTTTCCTGGTAACTGTGTTGTTGATACTGGCTGATTCATTTGTAGTGTCCAACAACTGTGGTGCCTTTTTTTGGGGACCAACCTTTTTGGGGCGACCGTGTACATGCTAGGGGTGTAGGTCCTGCTCCCATCCCTGTGGATGAGTTCTCACTCGAAAGGCTGGTCTCTGCCATTGAATTCATGCTAGATCCAAAGGTGTGGGGTGTTTTTTCTTCTTCATTTAAGTTTGAATGTTTGATATCTTTCAAAACACTTGGATTGGTGGCTGAAATTGAAAATTCCCATTAGAACTTTTATTCAAACAAAAAAAAAGAACTTCATGAGACTGGCAATTACAATGTGCTGAGTTTTTGGAAGTGAAAAAGGTTTAGAAAAATCTATTTCAGCCATCTAACTGGATATGTGAAAAGTTACGTATTCTGCTTAGAGCTTGTTAGGAGTCCTACTCTCAGTTTGAGATAGTAAAGATAAGCTATCTTATTTTTCAAAATTTTCTACTGGCGGATGTGTAATGAACTTAAGATGCAGGTGAAAGAGCGGGCAACTGAGCTGGCAAAAGCGATGGAAAACGAGGACGGGGCGAGAGGAGCTGTGGACGCTTTCTACAAGCAGTTTCCTTCGGACAATTCCAAAGCTAAATCTAAACGATCACGCCATCTCAAAACTCAGCTTAGTAAAACCTCACACTGTCCCTCTCTATTACGATGCTTTTGCCTTCCCTGAAAGCAATCATGCCCATATTGATGCTGAGTCATTTACTTTCATCTCTAAAGAACTGGAAATATCCCACCTCTGTTTCATGTAATATTTTCATTGAAGATAATAAGATAAGCTTTAAAATCATAAGCTTGTGAGTCTTTGGCTCTTCGCACTTCTTTTTTGTTTTATACCGTTGTTTGGTTGCTCTAACCTCTAGCTATGGGAACGTCCCTAATTATTTAAAAATTATATTTTTGTATATATAGTTCAGAGATCATTTCATTATGAATTTTATGTGTATAAAGTTTTAAATTTAATGGTCCATTTTTCGCTTTGGAAATCATCGAAGTCAAACTGCATATGACTGCACACTAGGTACGTCATGGTCAATTCATCTAATTCTGACTGCTCAACTGATGAACTCTATAGGCAGTAAAAAGCGTAAAGATTTGTATGAAAATAATAGCTCCTGCCACTAGCTGGTTAAGTATACACGCTGCAATGTTGCACTTGTGAAACTTACTCTCTCAATTAAATCAAATTTGAGACACTAACCTGAAATAAGACACTGTTAATAAATAATACTTCCGTTTGTCCCATTTTTATCTCTTTCTTTTTGGATTGTTTCGAAATAAATATCATATTTCTTTTTAGAAAGAAAAATGTAGTTTTATTTCGTACTTTCACAATTTTTACATTTTCAACCACTTTATTAAAAATTGTATCAAATCAAAACAAGACACATAAAACGAACAAGACTAATAGTAATACTTAACAGTGGCACAGATTCAGCTAGATTACCTAAATTGGGTAAACTTGTGCTGAAAGAAGAATTGTACTAAAACATGCCAATGGCAGTTAAAACTTCTATCATAATACTAGAAATGAAATTTTATTAAAATGACACCACAATGATAGCATTTTCATATCATAAAATGCAACATCAAACTTTGGTAAACCCAATAAGCTCAAGAAGAAGCAGAGCTATATGAATTCAGTTGACAAAAGATTCTGAATCAATAAGAAGTCTGGTACCCAAGCAAAAAAAATCCTACAAAGTGAGTACTTCGAAGACGTTTGGATAAAGACCAGTAAAAGAGCCAATGCTGTCTATTTGATTCCTACAATTGACATTAAAATCCTGAGCATCTCATTGACATTTATGAGGTCTGAAGGGCCATTGAATGATGGTGGTGGTTCAACTCCAATGAACACAAAAAGAGCTTTTATTTCATCCACAGTGGATGATTGAGATGCATCTGTGTATCCCAAGATTGCCCTTAGTGCACACACCTGCTCCCATATCTTCTCGTCACTTATGTCCATGTCCTAGCACCACATTGACAGCAACAATTAGTCTCTCACTCCCTCCTTCAGTTCAAAATGTAAACTACATTTGAGTGCATAAAGGAGATCATTGTTATATCACAATTGTAACCTTCTGTATAATAAGGAAGAAAAGGTAGTAAGGAGTCCTAAAAAGTAAAATATGACATAACAGACAAAAGCATAAGATGGGAAACCAAAAAGCTAGTGATAAAATATTAGCAACGTAAAACAGACAACAAGACGAAGTGTATCTAACAAAAATGGACACATGAAGTACTAAGATATTATTATCATTTTACGAGAAAAGGTTGAGGAAATGGTGATCTGTTATGCACTGACCTCACTGGATGATGGCTCCTGTGCACCGTCGTTAGTTTTGGTCACATAATGTTCTGATGGGTGTAATCCTCCTGGTGTATCCTGCTGCTTCACTGCTGCATTTCCTTTATCTGCTCAAAAGGGAAGAACATGCCCACCTAATGAGTGAAATTGAAAAACCGAAACAGAACAGAATTGTGTGCACTATACATGAATACACACATCAGGAAGGCCAAAACTCTACCAGAAAGGGTGGTGCTTTCGTTGGCCGTGGCAGTTTCTGTTTCATCAATACTGGATTCAGAACCCTTCTGTTGGGGTTCCTCTGTGCTAGAAGAAACACCCTCCTGAACAAGATTTTCCTCGTTGATCAACAAGGATTGGTCCTTCTTCACATGATGTTTTTTCAAATCTTCTCCCGCAATTGACTTCTTAGTTTCTGTTGTAATGTCATCTTGTGTTGGAATAGTCTCAGCCGGTTCTTCAGATTTATCCATTTTCGCATCCTCTTCCTCAAAACTGTGATCTGCTTCACTGTTTCCTACTTTATTGTCATCATCATTATTTTCGCTATCTCTCCTTGACACCACTTCCAACAGTCCTTTAATCTTCATCTCAGTGGCTGTTTCCTCAGGCTCTTCTCCTTCTAAGTACTGCTGAATGGCCTCTTCTCCATAGCTTTCATCTTTCAAGCTATGATCATTGCTAATCTCTTTATTTTCCTCAAGCTCTCCCTCTAAGCGTTTGCCAACGTCCTCTTCATCCTCTTTCAAATTCGAATCAATGGTAACATCTATTTTGCGCCCTTCTTCTCCCCCCTCTATGTGTTCCTCATCATCATCCTCCCCATAACCTTTATCTAAGGCCGTTTCATCAGTGGTAATTACTTTTCCATCTCCTTGTTCTACCTCTAAGTATTCCTCATCCTCCTCCTCATAACCACTCTCCATGTTTTCATCAGTAGTAATTTCTTTCCCATCTCCTTGTTCAACCTCCAAGTATTCCTCCTCCCCCTCATAACCTTTCTCTAGGGTTTGATCAATGTGAATTACTTCCCCGATTCCTTGTTCTACCCCCAAGTATTCTACATCATGCTCCTTATAATCTTTCTCCAAATTCTCATCTTTTGTATCTGAGTATTCATCAACTTCCTCCATGTAATCTTCTTTTTCTTCTTCTTTCACATCCCCTTCAATGGGAATCTCTTCCACATCTCCTTGTTCTTCCTCCAAGCATTCATCAACATCCTCCTCGTAACCCTTCTCCAAATCCACATCTCGTTCTCCATCTAAGTTCTTGTTTATGTCCTTCACATGATAACCCTCTTTCAAACTGACAGAAGTGGTAGCCTCTTTCGTGTCGCAGCCTTCCTTCTTCAAGTACTTGTATGTATTGGCCTCTTTCTCCTTCTCATGTTCTCCCTCCACACATTCCCCAAAATCCTCCTCATCATAGGATGTCTTCTCTAAAATCTCATCTTTAATTTCATCCTCATTTTGTCCATCCAAAGGTCCACCAACTTCCTTCGCATAATGTTCTTCTTTCAAATCCTCATCAATAATGGTAATAATCCTCTTGCCATCTCCTTCTCCCTCCAACGACTCGCCAACTTCCTCAGAACCCGTCTCCAATTTTTCATCATGTATGTCGTCCTCGTGCTCTCCCTCCAGGAAGTTTTCACCAACCTCCTCCATATAACCCTCTTCTTCCAAAATCACATCAATGGCATTCCCTTTCCTAACTCCCTCTGTGCATTCACAGGCATCTTCCTCATCCTCTTCTTTCTCTGAATTCTCATCGACATTATCAGCATCTTCAAGCTCCCTTCTCTTGTCCCCAACTTCTCCTTTCAGGTATTCTCTGTCATCTTCCTCATCATATCCTTTGTCCAAATTCTCATTCTCATCTACTACAACCAAATTCTCATCTACTACATTAGTGGCTTTACGATTCTCATGTTTCCCCTCCAAGTGCTGGAAAACTTCATCAGCCTTATAATTCTCTTCATTTCTAACAAAAGCTGACCTTTCTTCACAACCTTCCACAAAACTCTCTCCCCCTTCTACCACTTCACCAGAGGTCTTTGTTTCTTCATAGTCTGTGCATTCCCCTCTTCCTTCGGAGTCCCTACGGGCTAAATCTTCATCTGCAGACACTTGTGTGGCAGCATGGTGGCAGCCCTCCAAGAGGAGAGGTGGGGAAGGCGAAGAAGGCATTGGCAGCAACTTGCTCATGAGCTTCTCAGTCGCTGCATAGCTGCCGACCACAACACCAACAGGGACCCAAACCACAAACCCAAACACAGAAATGGCTATGAGCGGAGGAAGAACCAACGGCGCAGATGAGACGAAAAAGGCAGTCATTATAACATTCCTTCCCAGTCTCACTCCCCTTTCCACAACCCATCTTCTCTTGCTTTTGCTGGTTATAATCTTCTTCATCTCATCCTCCCCTTTCATCTTTCCTCACTTCCAAACGCCCAACATATATAATCTATCACTGAAAATAAGAACTGGGAATTGGGGAAAATCCTCCAGAACGGCAACTCATTATAATACGCACCAATTAAGAAGCAATAGTCATATTTAAGTTTCAGGATTGTATGATTGATGAAGAAAGGAATGAAGAGGAAGATGGGGTTTGAGGAAAGGGATAAGATGAGGTGGCCTGGTATGGGTGTGGCAGTTGCTGCACTGAGAAGAAGACAGGTGTAGCCTCCATGCATGATGCATCCTCTGTAACAGAGAGTAACGTACCGTAAATGCGAAAGTGAAATATTCATTCAAATTTCACGCTAATTTTTCGAGTTCAAAGAAAAATATGTATCCGGAGCTTGTTTTACACGCAGCGCATAACAGATTATTTAGCCGGTTTAAATAACGTATTCGGTCATCAGTGATTAATAGAATAATTAACGAGTTGTGAGAAGATATTTAGTAATTTAGCTGTTTGATCATAACAATTAGTAGAAAATGTCAAATTTAAAAAAGTAAACTCAAAACTCTCTGATTTGCAGCGATTCCATTTTAGCGGTTCCGTTCAAAAATGTCAGGATTGAACAACTATTTACCAAACGGCGTTTTCACTTATTGCAAACCTTAAAGGGGGACAAACTAGGGGTGGACATAACGGTTTGGTTTAACTGATCCGAACCGTACCAAATCAAATTAAATCGAACTGAAACCGGACCGTATGTAATTTGGTTTGAGTTTGGTACTATTTCTTCCAAACCGTATTAAACCGAACCGAAACCGATAAAAACCGAACAAAATCGAACCGAATTAAAGATATTCAAAAAAACCTTCATACGAAGTATATTATTAAAAATCAACAAATCCGAACCGAACCGAACTAAAACGAATCGAACCAAACCGAAAAATAGTATGATTTTTGTTTGGTAATAATTCTTAGAATTGAACCCGTTCCAAACTGAACCGAAACCGATAAAAACTGAACCAAATACCGATATGCCCAGCCCTAGGTCAAACTGTCACCTTTTAGCTGAAACGTCATTTCTCAAACATCCTCATTATGTTATCTTCCACCATACTCCCCTGTTCCAAATTGAATTGCAAAAATTGACTTTTTTGGGTCAAAACATACTCATTTTATTCTCTTAATTAAGATATCAATTCTTAATTAAATTTTGCAACTTCATTAAAATTGAATCAATTATAAATTCGGAGGATTTGACTTTAAAATTGATTGACAAAGAAATGTTGATTTTGCAAAACAATTTGGGATGAAGTTAGTATAATATTAGTACCTTATGTGCAAGGGGCGCGGTAAGAGCACTGGTTCGGACTGAGTCGACACAAAAAATATTTTTAAGATTTTCTTTACACGAGATTTTTATATAAAAAAAATAAAGACATTTTTTTAAATTTGGGGTGAACCGGGGACTAGATTAGCCGCTAGCTCCACCCCTGGTCGGGTGGGTGGTCTCTCAAACGACTTCACAATCAGTGACAAATCTTGCAATGAAACATTGGTTGTTCAAAATTAATTTATCATTAAAATATTGAACAATAATTTTCTTTAATTTGATCAAACCATTGAATACATGTGACGTTTTCAACAACAAAAAACTTGCAAATAAGATTAAATGGAAGTGATGATATTATTCAAAATAGGATTATTAAAATATGAAAAAAATAAAAAATAAGACTTAGTATCTTTTTAAATTCTTCCCAAAAAAGACTTATATACTCCTAAAAGAATAAAACAATAATAAAAAAATCAAAATAGGAGTGTGTTATATAATATCTATACAATATATATAAGATCAAAATAGAGATCGAGATGAGCTAGAGGTGAAGGGTAATGTGTATAATATAATGAATAATAGAGTCTCCTTCTACAAGACTCTATTATTCATTATATATAGAAAAGATTTCACGGGCTTAGACAATGTCATATGCCGGAACTAGACTAATAGGCTAGGCCCATTGTACTAAATATAAGTTTGGGCCGGTCCTGTTGCTTTGGTGGAATTTGTCCCTAAGACGGGTTGTGGTGAACCAGTCCAAAGCACACCAACTACCGCAATTGCTGAAAATCCTGATGATTATTATACTAGCAGTCAAGTGATATATGCCCCACTTACAGAATGCTCGGTTGAACCCATGGTGGCTACTTGTAGAAAGGTGGTAACCATGGTGGAAGTTCAACCAACTCTATGTGAAGCTCCAATCGAAAATGTTGAAATTAATTCTGATCCAACTACGGCCATACACACTTGATCCATGCACGCCCAATGGTGATATCATATATGAGGACCACACAAGTACTCCTTTACATGCTTTTTCAGGTACATACACTACATATTCCAATGAGGATGAGTGCCCAAACGGCCTTACGCAGGTGAATGGACGGAAACAAAACACAAGATCTCTGCCCAGACCCCTAACACAGATCTAAGAGTACCTTTTTTATGAGGTGGGGTGGACCTCACACCCGTGATCACATAAAGCCGCTCCCTTCACCCACAAATGAACAAACTACTACTTGTACCCGGTTGACACGAGGCTTGACTCCCCTCATAAATTGGTTGAAGCACAGAAACAGAAACCTACCAACCATATCTGAAATATGCAATCAAATTTCACAACAGATACAACAAGACTCTCTCTGCTTCAGTGAGGATTCCCACACAAAATTTCAATTGTTAGTGTCTTGACTTGTAACTTCATTTATTTTTGTACTTTCTTGGCTTGTTTTTATTTCTATTGTAATCTCAAAATTTTAATCCGTATTAACAAAATCGAGAAGTGTTTCCCGACACTCCGCTACCTCGTGTGGTTGCTCCAGGACAAAGAAAAGTTCGGGCCGGTCCAGGATAGTATATACTGGGAAGAAAACAACGTCACTCTTATCAAAAGAAATTATGTTTTATTTACTTGTGAGGTAAAAAAAATATACATTCTCATATGCATTAACTTATTTTTTGAGCCTTATATGAGGCAATATGCCAATATCTAATAAACTAATGGGAGGTGTACGTTACCGGCACCGAATCCTTCCAATTCGTAACATTGAGCTACAGCTACCGTAAAATTGTCAATTGTATTAAAGAATTGAGGCCTAACTAGGGCTGTGCATTAACCGGGTCGGACCGTATTTTAGACCTGAACCGGACCGGAATGACCCGGTCCGGACCGGACCGGTATTAACCGGTCCGGGTTTCGGTCCTTAGTTTTTCAAGATTCCGGGTTTTCGGTCCGGTCCGGGTCAAACCCGGAAAAAACAGGTCCGGACCGGAATAGACCGGTAACCTATTGTTCCATAAAATATATACTTCGTTTTGAATCATTAGTCAACTTATATTTGGCTTACTACTATGTTTATGGCTTATTTTTGCCTTTTGTTATATACACGAATATATACGGAGTGTGTATTTGGTGTCTAATTATTTCCTAAGTTGTTTATAATTTTTTTTATGTAGCAGGTCCTAAGTTTTTTATTGATCGTAGTTTATATTTGTTTGATTTTTTCAAATCGCTTTTTATTTGTTTCTTTATTTGCAGGTGTGTATGTAGTTTATATGTAGTTTATTTTTGGACGTAATTTAGTTTTTATTACCCCACAATAAATTTTGCCAATTTAGTACACAAAAGATTGTAGTTTTAATTATTGTGGGATACTAATTGTTACAATTGAATAGTTTTGATGACTATATTCCAAAATTAATAAATGAGCTAAACAATTATTTAGTCTATTTAGCATATCTGCATATAAAATTATAGTTTGAAACAACAACACATCCAAGTCTTATTCCTAAAAAATTTGGGGTCAGCTAAGAACACTCTAAGATAATACTCCATATGTCTTCTTTTAAAACCGGGTCAATTAGGGTCAAACCCGGACTGGGCCGGAAAATTCAGGTCCAGACCGGTCCAGACCGGTTAGATTCAGGTCCGGTCTTCGGTCCATAGAAAATGATTATTCCGGTTCCGGTCCTAACCGGTTCCGGTCCGGTCCGGTCCGGTTTTGGACCGGTGCACACCCCTAGGCCTAACTACAATAGAATTACACAATTGGATCATCTATGTATAAGATCAATACACCAAATATTGAACAATGTATTTCTAGCTGTATAAATTAAACTAGCTATATATCTCCTCCCCTTCTTTATGTTTCCATTCCAACCCTATAAACCTGCAGGGAGAATACCTTAACTTGTACTCCTTAATGGTATCAAGCTTCGGAGACCACACTTGATCTTTCGACCCCACCAGTTGCTCATAAACCTTCTTCAACTCCGGCGTGTCACAAAGCATAACCTTTCCACCATTTTTATCTTCATCTCCACCACCACTACTGCTCACTTTAATCCCTCCACTAATAAGGTTCACTATGAACTCCGGCACCACCTTCACCATTGCCCTACCGTTTGATCCTCTAATATGTTCAAACGCCGCGCTCTTGAAGTTGACCGGCGGGGAACCACCTCCTCCGTGTCTCGGGCTGCGCCCTAATGCCCCGAGAGAGGATACAGAGAGGACGTTGCTCGCGAAGGCGTCGAGCGGAAGGACTAAGTATGTATGCCCGGCGATGAGCTCGTCATCGATGGAAAGAACCGGGAGCGGTTGACCGATGAAGAAAGAGTGTGCATGGCAAACCATGCACTCCGGGAACTCGAACATCACTTCTCCGGCGGTCAGGCGGCGTTTCCCGGTCATGATTCGGGACGTGCCGTCGTGGAAGGTCAACGTCACCGGTGACCGGGAAAAGGAAAACGTTGTGTTAAGACAACATGGAGAAATTGAACTGGCAATATTTCCCATTTGAATTATTTCAATAGTACAAGTAATGTATCTCTAGTTGAGGGTTATATAAATACGTGTGTCTATGTAGGGTTGATTGACTTTAATGAGGTCAAGTGGTCAACCAAGAAAGTGTTTTTTAAACGAATCTGAGTTGTCTTTCTTAATAAAGTATTACCCCTCCTACTAACATTAACACATTGACGAGATGATGTAATTATTAAGAAAAGTAAGTTTATATTGTTGACATGAAAATGTTTGATGTACACGTTTTTTGTGTATACCTTTGGTACACTTGTCTGTTTACGCAGACAGAGTTATTTGTTTAAGACCAGTGTGCTAAAGATGTATACGGAAAATATGTACACCAGACACGACTTTTTTATTTGTATTAACGAAGTAATAATAAAGTAAGAATGATTTATAATCACACAAGTTTGTATGAAACAATTTTAATGGATAAGGAACAAAAAAGAAAATTGTGACAATGAGCTAGTACAATTTCTTGGTTGTTTTTTCAATTATGGTGGTTCGCCGGAGAATGAGCAGGTATGCTTGGCGGAGGTCGGTAGTCAGTAATGCCGGCTGGCTTTGAATATTATAAAGTGGATGGATCTATAGGCAGCGTGGGGTTTTCGAATGGATGGAGTAGTTGCATACTTGCATGTGTCTATTAATTCATCTAATCCCAACCATTCATTAAATAGCCAAAACAGGGGAAGACTTTTATTATTTCGGACTGCATACCCAAGGTTTATGAATTTGTAGTTTTTATAGTACCCATAAGGTACCATACCTTTGTCCACATGGACCAATAAAAAGGTAGCAGTTGAATTAATTAAATCTAAATTAAAATTGATAAAGTGATGCGGTCCAATCAAATGAATGCTAGGTACGGTACCTCTATTTTTAGAAAGGTACCGGAGTTGTCACCTTATGAATTAGAACTTTTATATACTACCTTATATTTATAACTTCCTAATAGTGAACTAAATAAAGGATATATAAACTATTGAGATATGACGAGAAGATAATGAAATAGTGAGCTAGAATGAAGGATAACTTCAAAAAAAATGTAGTTGTAATACTGTATTATTTTCAAAGTTATTGAGGGTATGATGAGAAGATTTAGAAATGAGAAAATATGAATGTTACGATCGAAAAAGGAAGGCGAGAAGATAAGAATGATACGAAGAAGAAAGTATATATGGTAAAGATGAGGTGAGGGAATGTTTATTAAAACTTTAAAGAAAAGAAAATTCAATTTTTGCATTAAGATGTTGAAAATGAGTGTTTTAAAACGACAATTTATGTTTAAGTTAAACACTTAAAAGCTAAAAAATGAAAACTTGCATAAGAGTACTTTAAACTCTTTTGTGTTAGGCAAAAAACATTTTTATCAAACATAACTTTTTCTTTTTCAAAAGTACTTTTTTCTCGAACAATATTTTATGATTAAACTTCAAAATCTTTAAAATCATTTTGACAAAGTACAAGCAATCATTAACACTTCTTTCAATTTGTTTGATGTTTGATGAGATTCTTATTTTGCCAAAAACTAAACTAAATGTTTCAGATTTTTGTAGTGATAAACCCTACAAACTCACTTTGTTTAATTTAACCTATAATACTTGTCTAACAATTAATACAAGTCATTGACTCATTATCATAAAAAATGAAATAGACTAGGTAAAAAGTGGCCGGCTACGAGCAGTAACATAGGAGGGGGGTTTAACGAGCAATCAGTGAATCAGAGAGCACCTATTTGTTTATTATTCTTGAAGATAAACATTTGTGAACCAATAATAATATACAATTATTGTGGATGGGCATGCATAATCGATGACTGGATGAGTATGTTAGTCAGTAGTGACAGTCTCGATACTTTACCTTAGAATATTTTCACTATTAGTCCCTTAATTATGCAAAAGACACTTTTTGATACCCGTTTTGCAACTTTTCATATTTAGTCATACGACCTTCACAATGACATTATTAATCCTTCAATTATTATCATAGTAACATTTTTAGAGGTCGTTTGGCAACACTGTTTTCGGCTTATCAGGCTTATCAGTCAACTTTTTTACCAAACACGTAATTTTTGCTTTCGCGCGCTGAATTGTGTAATAAGCAGAAAAGTAAGGTTGGAATTACTTTTCTGACTGTATTTGCAGAAGTTACTGTAGTTCACCATTTTAGCCATTTTTACATATAATTTTCTCTTTATTTGATTAATAAAATACGGAGTATATTTTAAAAATAATTTTTTCTTAAGTAAGCAGAATCAGCCAATGTAGCCACTTCAGCCAGAACTTCATAAATTTCAGCAGAATCAACCAAATCAACCGATTCTCGTGCTACCAAACGGGCTCTAGCCTTACGCTTATTATGCCACAATCACAATGAAAGGACCAAATGGGTTTATTTCACAATACTCAAACATCAATGTGGGAAATTTTGAAGTCAATGATTAAAAGTGTCATTCTCACATTAACCAATTAAAAAAAAGTTGAAAATTGAGTACTAAAAAATGAGAAAAACTCGAAAGTTTTACATGGTAAAACCCAAGTACATGGTCAGTTAACTAAGAAACTAGCCGAGCACAGCCAGACAACAGAACATTAGATAGAACAACCAAAAAGCTAAGCCACCTCCTAAGAGCAGCAAAAAGTCCTCAAGATATAGAAAGGACATAATAAAATACTCCTAGGAATCATGAATGTCTGCAAAACTAAGTACATTACTCAACATAGTGATAGCAATGCCAAAAGGAAACATCCAACAAACATCAAAATCATTCACTAGTCACTACTAATTCCACAATGCCCCGACTTTTATGTTAGTATCTTAGTGATCTCGCAAGCCATCAAAAATCTTCTAAATCAGTTGTTAACCACTCGACCATACTTCTTTGTTTTTCTGCCATGCCAGCAGAATGAATCCGGCACAGGTCCTTAACAAGGTCTTTATCAGCACTGAAAGACTTGGATAGAACAAATTGGTAGTGATTAGTTTCACTACCCGATAATACACCCGATCGCTGCTCCTCAGCTTTGATCTTTTGTGCAACAGACATCAAAGTAGGGAATCTAGACCCCTCCAGCTTGAATAAGTCAGCAGTGGAAGCCAGGTATCGAGTGAACTGCGGGTAATCTGAATCTTTCATCAATTCAAGAGCCTCTTCAAGTTTTACGACCTCTTTTTCCACTCTCGGGTCACTCAGCACGGGTGATTCGTATTTAACAAAGGTATAATATATGAATGTAAAATCATCCCTGACATTGTAGGACAGGATTTTGGCTACATACCTCATGACAGAAGCAATGATTTGATACCCATTCTTGAAACCAAGAATCAGTTCGATTGTCCTCTTTATGAGTGCCCGGTTTGATCCGAGCTTCATACGCAGAATGCTAGCCTTGGACTGGTTTAGAGGAATAGGGATCTCAGCATTAGGGACACATCCTACAATACTTTTTAGTGCCTCAAACCTCTTCAACATACATTGGGTGTAGTGGGCTGGAGAAACAGTCCTGAACAGTGTGAAAATGCAAAAGGCACCCCTAACTAAAATATTTGGCCAGTCGTATTCCGGGATGTCATCAAAGGTAATCAGGTGTTCATCGGCTTGGGAAGGGATAGAAACAACCATAGGAGATACACCTAGCTGATAAAGAGCATTGAGCAACTCGTCCTTCAAATCGGGAAGAACGATACGAAGAACGCAGGCAACATTTGTACAAAGACAGAGATCGTCACTTGTCTCAGCAGCCTTGTCCAGAGCTAATGCAAAGACATCCCCTCCATAAGATTTCCAATCATCAGGAACATAAAAGGCGCAAACTTTAGCCCGAGAGTTAGCTCGGATGTTTCCACGGGACATTCTTATCTGTCTAGGAAGAACCACTCCTGCAGCGGTTACATTGGAAGGAGGAAGTGCAACTGCCTGCTCGTCCACACCATTCAATGGGTGGTGGTCCGTCCTGGTTCAAGCAGTGGCCGGGCAAGAAATGGTATTAGGAAGGCTGGGCTTAACAATTTTTATATTGCAGGGACAAAGCTTAAACCATCAAAGTATTTACATTTAGGAAAATGTTCAAGTAAGGTAGGCCTAAGAATTGAAATTCTTAGGCCTCTTTCATTTGAAGTGCTTCTGAGACATATTTTTTGATGAAATTTTGTGAGCATGTTCTCCATGAAGTGTTGACTATGCCCACCAAATTTCAGAATAAAATTCAATCGGTAAGTCGGTTAAATAATTTTTTCAAAATTGCGCAAGTTTTTACATATATAAAATGCAGTTATTTTTCAATAATTTATTTAAATGACTTCCCGATAGAATTTTTTTGTGAAACTTGGTGGACATAATCTTCAATCCATAGAGTACATGCTCACAAGATTTCATCAAAAAATTCGACCCGGAAGCACCTCAAATGAAAGAGGCCTAAGAATTACAATTCTTAGGCCTACCTTACCTTAGCATTACCCTTACATTTATACATATATATAGTATATTCCCCATGGTGGAGGCCCCTCCGCGTCTCCACCACTGGGTTCACGGTTGCAGGAATATGTAAGAAGTTTAAAATATTGCACTACATATTCAACTTCAATCCGCTTACCTAACTTTCCATAGCTAAATATTGCACACAAGAAGAGAACAACAGATTAAAAGTGCAGTTTAATGAATACACTTAATAAGCAAAAAATGAACACACAGAGCAACAACAAAGAGATAGAGATATACATTTATACCTTGGAAGAGGCTTCGATAGTTTGATTAACTTCCAGTCTTTGGTCACTTCCTGTGGCCAGTCATCGTCCATTTGTCGCTTCATGTCACCCCTTCTTGGAATCTTCTAACTTCAGTGACGCTAAAGCAGCTGGTGAAAAAATCACCTTTAAATATAGCGAACGGTCAGACAGAATTTGTATAGTCCCGTTGGGATATCCTCTAGCCGCCAATAGTCCCTATTTTGCGATTCCCAAAGGTAAACGTACAGCAAGCTGTTCATATTCGTGGCTTGAGCCATTTCTATTA